TAGAGTGCGATAATACTTGGTGGCAACGATTTGAAAAGTGAAATGCCATTTATCGTGAAACGCCACAAAATGGCAAAAAGAAATTAATAGCCCCTCTGGGCTGAAACTTATTTTTAAAAGTATCTTACTAGTAGTAGTACAGCTACTGAAAAAAGTATTATAAAGCTTTTTCATAGTTTTATAATTTTTTTTTATATAATTTTATTTTACAGTAGTGTGAATTTCACGTAATAATGAACGACATTCCTTTTTGTGTTCACAGTATTATTCGTAAGGTATTCAACTGTTAGATTTTAAAGTAAACGTAATTCTTGCTGTACATAAATCGAGTAGAAGCTTATCGGATGTCTATATTTGTATTAAATGAAGAAGGTTCATATGCTTGATAAACTTATTATCTTCTACATTTTTAAAGCATACAATTACAATTTATATCTATAATTTCAGGAATAGTATAACCTTTCTTTCAGTAGAAATTGCGTTTTTGTTTTCTGAATGTGGCTCCAAATAGTCTCTCAGTTCATTGCAAATTAAAATAACTATAAATTTTGGCAATCTGAAATACGCAATGAAAACATCTTTTGGCAGAGCAAAAGCATCAAAATATTTTCTATAAATTCGCCACCGAGTCAGAGATCTATGACCGTATTCTTCGTTTAAATATGAAAAAAATAGTGGGGAAAACACATACAAAGCCATTGTCTACTTAGTACGTCAACTGCACAACCCTGATTGACGACGCGGCAACACTTTTTCACGCGCTTTCGACAACTTCCGTACTCGGAGAATATAGGATGTCGGGCAGACCTGTTTTTAACTAGCAGCGACATCTGGCAGCCCACAACTTGCTGTCGACTCTCGTAGCGTAGAATAACCGTCCTGACAAGGCCAAAATGAAATGCCGATAAATGTAATTTGATATTTGTTACCCTGACTGCAACGGATCTCTCCATTTCTCACAAATTATGCAGTGGAATGATGCTGTTCCTGAACATTTTGTTAATTCAAATCAAAAATGCTTCATTACATTTGCATCTAATGAATATGAAGGAAGGGGAAAATAGCAATAAAATGTATTCCTTGTCAGTTCTTCATAAAGAAACATAAATTTTGTATTTTGTCAATTATAGTTTCCAGATAGAGGTAATGCACCAGAATTTATTCTGCAGAAATGAGAGGACTTCAAGAAAATACTGCCTAAAGAATTACCCTCCCTATACCTGAATAAACAACACTTCAAATGAGATGGAACCCTTAAGCTATCATGAAAGTTTTTTTTTTTTTTTTTAAATCATACTTTTACCATGTTATAGACTTTTATTGAAATCATATAAATCTGCTCTTCCCCAGCTAAGGATGAAACTAAATACCGAGTGACACAGCTCCAATTCAGGTAATATATTCTTACACATTTGGATATGTGTTGTTCTTCAGGTATAAACACAAATCTGAATAATGTACAGATGGTTTTAATATTCTGACAGACCAGTACATATTATTTACCTTTATAGATTTAACTTTAAAAGGGGAGGGGGGAATCTGAAAGCTCTCAGATTTTATATTAATGCCAAAGGGGTATTTTTTTAACGTTTTGTGTGCTGCCTTTATTTATTAAATACCATGTTCTTCGCACTTAACCCTTTCAGATTCGGTGCACAAAAAAAATATTTTTTTGAAAAAAATAACTTTACACATAGATATAATTAGCCTCTAATACAATGTTTTTCACAGGGGGGGAAAGGTAAACTTTTAAGGTGATTCATGACATGGTGGGATACCACTTATACCACCGCACATCTAGAGTAATAAAATGGCATCTTTACCCGAGTGAAAATTCTCTTAACATGCTTATATAAAGTGCTAGTTTTAGCAACCAAATGAAAATGTAAGATATAAAAAACGTTTTTGAATAATTATCTAGAAAATATTGTTCATATTCACAAAATAAAAAAATAGTGTTTTTAAAAAAGAAATTGCATAATTTAAAAAAAAAAAATCAGTCACTGTATAACTATTTAGATATTTTTAATGATTTCACAATAGATTTGAAACAGAAAAGATTTTCGCTCCAGTACTATATTTGCTACAGGTTTGAAGGAGAATCACCTTGCTTACACTCTGCTTAGGATATTTTTCTATGGTGAATCACACTCACATATCCATTCAGTATTCAATGACATTTCATGTTACAGGGTTATATTTTCATTTCTTTCAAAAGTAATACTAAATATTTTTCAAGTTTTAACATTACTGCAATTTATTAAAAAAAATAAATTTGCATTATCTATATATGAAATGAACATGATATTTGAATTAAAAAAATTTTTTAACAGTGCTGCATTTCCTACATATGCAGTGGGATGTATTTGTCCCACATTTTAATTTCAACCATTTTTAATTAATATATGAATTAAAATAATAATTTTAGAATTATTATTTAATTATTATTTTATTACAATAATTAGAATAGGAAATTTTCAGATAAAAATAGTAATTCTACTACCAAAAGTTGTTCAGATGAATTAAATTGCATAAGAAATTAAGAAAAAACTGCTTCAAAATTAACACCTATAAAAAAATTTTCTACATTATTTCCATACTAGTGCTGCCATCTGTTATAAATTTAGAAAACTAAAAGGCATAATTGTATGTATTTTAAATAGAATATTACAGCTTTCATCTGGGAGATAAAAAAAGGTGGATCGCCTGGCATCCCACCACCCGTCAAAGGGTTAGACCATAAAATTCAATTCGACAGCAATATCATGAAATATTTAAAAAAGAGCATATCTTTAGAATTTCAGATACATTGTCTCTCACGCTGCAGATAAAAGTGTTTTTTTTTTTTTCCTGTAGTGTTGCCATTGCTCGCTTTAAAATTGTTCAGTTTGTTAATAAAAAAGGTGTTACGTTTTACAAAATATGAAATAGATAATAAAACAAATTCGAAATTTGGGCTTTCAGATGCCAGTACTCAAGTGGAGGATTCAAAATTTGATGTCTCTAGATAAAGTTTTTTCCACAATGTGAGAAACGTACATAACCATTAAAACTACAACACCAGGAAGGAATAATATGCCGAACGTCAAAATCGCATGAAAGGAAGACGAGGTTGTGATATGCAAATGATTAGCATTTCAGCACAATTAGACAATGCAGGAGGGAGAAACGACATCTGAAGAACTGCATAAAAGAAAAGCTGTGTAGTGGATTGCACATTCGGAAAGTGCTTTGTAAGGTCAGAGTTTGCTCAATATCGTGTTATGCCTCGAATAAGAGGAGAAATGCTTACCAGCAAGTGTCAGAATTCGACAGAGGCAGGATCGTTGCCTATCGAGAGTGTGGATTATCATACTGTGATATCTCCCGTCACACTGGTCGATATCCAACCATTGTCATGCGAATATGGAATCAGTGGGTTGCTGAAGGTCATACTGAATGGCATTCAGGATCTCAACGGCCTCCCATTACTAACGCCCGCGAGAGTAAACATATTGTGAGGTCAACTCTGCAAAACCATTTAACCACATAACGGACCATTAGTCAGAAAATCGCTATGATTACAGCAAGCCCAATATCCGCTCATAAGCTGCGTTGAAGTTTCAGTAGCATGGACTATCAGCATGGCGACCATTACTTCGGATTCCCTTGATAGTGCAGCAGAGAGAGAGATGGCGACTCTGACGTGCCGAAGGACAAAGCTGGATACAAGAGTGGCACAATGTCGTCTTTTCAGACAAGTCCCGGTTCTGCGTTCAGTATTCTAATGGCCGTATACATGTCTGGGGGCTGCGAGGAGACTGTAAGTCTCCTTTTTATATTTGATATCAGCATAGGGACTCTGCACCTGGGGTGATGGTTTGAGAAGCCACTGGGTACACGACACGCATATCCCTAATTCGGATCGATGGTAATATGAACGCAGATGGGTTCATTTATGATATCTTACATCCAGTGGTTGTGCCCTATCTTCGAGCCCTGTCAAACGGCATCTTTTAACAAGATAATGCAAGACCACATTTTGCACGTCGTGTTCTGACCTTCCTCGATACACTGGGTATTCAATTGCTGCTCTGGCCTGCCCGGTCTCCAGATCTATCACCCATAGAAAACGTCTGGTCATGGGTTGCTAAGAGACTGGCTCGCCATCCCTCTCCAGCTAGTACGGTTGATAAAGTGTCGCATGAACTTAAAGAACAATGGAATGAATTGCCCGTTTCTGTCATCAAAGCCCAGTTCGACTCTATGCCTAAGTGGATAAGGGCCATTTGTAGCTGCCATGGGTGGTAGCTGTTTCTCCTGATTTTGCACCCCTGTAAACGCCAAAACTACTTACAAATTTAATCATTTTGTCTTCATGCTGTACTGTTTACATACAATGAAGATCTTTTTTGTATTTGCTTTCCTTCATGATGTTGCAATTTTAATGGCCAGCAGTGTACACACATTTATGTAGATTCTCCATTATTTAATTTCTTTAAATAAAATGCAGGGCTCTAATATTTGGTGGCAACAATTTGAAAAGTGAAACACAGTTTATAGTGAACCAACGCAAAATGCCAAAACAAAATTAATAACCTTTCTGAGTAAATTACCTTTGGGGCTAATAATAATCAATTTCAAGATAACAGCCATGAGAGTATTAATTATTTAATCAAAAGGAATGCACACTATTAGGTAACGCCTACGAGTTTGTAATTGTGGATTCTTTGATAATTTTTCATGCTCAGCTATATGGTATTTCACAACATTACAGATAAAATATACTCTATCTAAATTTTGTTCCAGAGCTGTAGGGGACAATCACTGAGAATCAATAAAAAAGATTTTGAAGGAATTAATTTCTATAATACTGTGTATAATACCTGGGCAGTTTCCACTGTTTTTGGATAAAATTATCTTTCATTAAGTATAATGAAATTTGTATCAGAAGGAAAAATTTTCTATTAGAGTTAATAAAACTTCATCATTAGTAATTCAAAGGCTGTATTAAAAATTACCTTTGCTCTGCCTTGAAAGTTGAATGTTAGAACATATTCCCCTTTCCTAGTTTCACTCTGCCGTACTAGAAAAACACCATGACCCAAAGGACCATCTCTTAGAACTAACTGAGCAGCATCACTTCGAGACAGCATTCCATGAAACCATGGATATTCTCGTAATGTAATATAAATATCAGGTCCTGTATCTAAATGGAAAGAGGAGAGAGAGAAAAATTATTTAGAATACATACAAGTATTTCTTCAAAATACAAATATATAAAATTATAAATAATTAAGTGTCATGTCAGTAATAAATGAGGGAAAAAAGAGTAACTCTGAAACTGTGTTCCATACATCAGCCTAAAATTTCACATCAAGTTTTCAAAAACAATTATATTAGCATTCCATACACAAAAAAGAATAGAAATATGCAAAAGGTTTTGCTACTGAAGATGAGGACCATTTTTTGATTGAACTCAATACTGATAGAGTTTTATTCAAAATTGATACCAAATACAGATTGCTTTTTCTTGCCAATTTTATATCTTATACATATAACATATTGCATCTTTTTAAAATTTAAGTGTGTGACAGTCCTCCTTATCTGACAGATAACAGTCAAAAAAAATTTCCATCATTTCCTCTAATAAGAAAAAAAAAATTAAATATGATATTGGCTTGAATGCAAGATAATGCTTTCCCCTCTTTTAAAATGGCCTTTTTCATATTTCCCTTTTTAAAATAATATTCTTCTCATCAGTGCAGTCTAATATTTAAAAAAAAAAAAATTCAGTTCCCCCCATCTGTTAAATTTGATGACAAACAAGTTTTATCTTAATGCCAAATACTTAGACCAGCATTTGGCAACCTGTGAAACATTAAGGGTTCTGCAAGAACAGGGAAATAACAATAACACATGCATCATTAAATAGGCAACAATTTTCTTACAATTCAGTATGTACTTGGGTGGAGGGAAGTAGATGTGACTATGATAAGTCTAGCCACTGATAACTGAAAAGCTGTCTCTGGCTGCTCGGTTAAGACTTGCCAGATGCAAGTTACTGCAAACAGTTGTCAACAGTTGTATGAATTTCTCTGTTATTTGCATTATCATTCCAATTGCAAAAACAAAAACAAAAAAGAATTTTTTAATGGAAGGAGATTAACTTATTTTTTAGTAATTTTCATTAACCTTTAACTTATTCATAAGGAATTTTCATTAAACTGTAAATTGGCACTGAAAGACTACACATGCAACATAAGTCTAATTGAGCATAACCGAACGGCCAGAGGCAGCTTTTCAATTTTCACGGACTAGAATCTAGTGTGATTGTGCATGCATTAGTGATGCAGGAAGTGTAGCATCATGTGGTTGGTTAAACAGAGTGTTAGTATTTTTTTTTTATTTTATTTTACTACTTTATTAATATTCTATTCAGTTTTTCTTCTCATTTTTTTCAGTTGTTTTAGAGGTTTTAATGCTAAAATGTGATGGCACTTCAAAAACAAAAAACCCATATAATTCTGAAGAGACTAGTAATGAAGATTTAAAATCTTGTATAAAATTTCAAAAGATTAACAAAGAAATAAGTGCAAAAAAGTTTGTCATTACATTGAAAGTTATTCATCAATGGGCTTTAAACAGACTGCTAATCCAGAATGTCCTCTTCCATTGTGCCTCATTTGTGGTAAAATTATTTTTGAATACTGCAATGGCTTCAAAAAACTGAAGAGACATTTCACGGCAAAAAATACGAATATGAAAAATAACCCTGTTGATTATTTTAAAACTCTGTTAAAATCTCAAAATAAAATACAGCTTTTGAAAATACATTTACAGTTAGTGGAAAGGCTCAGAAACAGCTTATTGCACAGAAAAGGAAAAGACACACAGTCAGTGAGAATCTGATAATGGCTGCATGTAAAATCATAGTGGGTAAAATGTTGGGAGGAGATGCAGTAATCTAGTTTCAGTTCTAGCATTTATAAGATTTGTTAATGAGGGAGAAATTTAAGAAAACTTCCTCTGCAGTAAAGAGTTAACTCGAGACAAGCAGAAGAATAGATATATTTCATATTTTATCTGCATATACTGAGGGGAGACATCTTTCTTGGAAGAATTATACTGGCATTTGTACAGATGCTGCTGTTTCAATTGTTGGCTCAATAAAAGTCTTTGTTACTCTTGTAAATAGGAAAAAAATTGCTAATGTTGTTTCCATACACTGTTTTATACATGGAGAAGTGTTGATGTCAAAATCTCTAGGTAATGAAGAACAAAAGGTACTTGATAATATTATAAAAATGGTAAACTTCATTAAACGAAAGTACCTTCCCTCCAGAATTTTGGTGTAGAGTTTTTAGTAAGGTTTTTGGGCTAAAGGAAGAAATGCGTATATATTTTCAACACAACAACAAACAAGATTTTACTAAATGCTTTAAGGATCAAATGTGGATGCAGATGCTAGCTTATTTAGCAGATGTTTTTCATCACATGCTTCAATGATTAAGTTACTGCAGAGTGGTGGAAAAAATTTACTAACTTCTAGTGACGAGATTCTTGGATTTAAAAGAAAATTAAACTTGTAGAAAGGTCACGCAGTAAAATGGATGTTAATACATCAGAATTACTGGTGGGACTAAAAAGTGAAGATGGGTACCAACAAATTTCAAGTTTTATTGTTTTCCACCCCAGAGAAGCAGTCAAAGAAAATTTATTATTATTCTCCAATCCTGTCAACAGAATGTCAATGAGTGGGTGAGAAATCCATTCTCTAGCACTTCCATTCATCCTCAGAAGCCAACTTTAAAAGAAGAACTTTATGACCTGAACCATCCAATTAAAAAAAAAAAAAAAAAAAAAAAAAAAATGGATGTTTCATTGAAAATGAGATTGAATGACATGGTTTTGGACAAATTCTGGAATTAATTGAAAGTGAGTATTCAGCAATTCATATGAAAGCAACTAATATATTGCTGCAGTTTTCAACATCATACATGTGTGAAGAAGCTATTTTCTTGTTTAATAAGTATTAAGAGTAGGGATAGAAATCATCTCTTTTCTGTGACGATGAAATCCATGATGTACATTGAAAAAATGAACCCAAATTCAACATTCATGTTCCAAAAAACAGGTGCCGTTTTCACATACATTTGCTACATATTATTATTATACTAAAGAAATTTATTATTCATCTATACCTAATTACAGTTAGAATTATATACCACTTCCGTGTAACCGCATTTTTTTAAATAAACAGGCTAAACTGATAGCTTATTATTTCTTGTTTCGATTAATGATCTTTAATTATGAAAAAATATTGTTACATGGGTGCTGCAATTCCCTAGAACTTGAAAACTGTCACAAGGGTTCCATAAGAGTGAAAAGATTGGGAAATGCTGATTTAGACCACTTTATATACTTTTTTTTTGGGGGGGGGGGAGTAATATCAATATACCAAGCAGATATACGTGAAATTTAGACATAAGCCCTTAATAAAAAACTTCAAAAGTACAAGGCCATGTAATAACTGAGGCTATCTTATATTTAAACCAATGCAATGTTAACTTCCATTAATTTAAGCAACAGAAAATGAATCAATAACATCAAAATAACAAGTCAGGATTAGTCTGAATTTTAAAAAAGGAGGGATAATTAACTAGCAAAGTAAAAATTTCACATTGACTTCACATTGTTTTGAATTTCACATTGAAATCTTCCATGGCTCAGTATTAAACTGCTTGAAGTGTAATTATGTAAACCTTTTTTTTTACTTAATTTTTATTACCTTGTTCACCCTGCGCAGAAGGTTCGTTTGTTGCAGCAGAAGCAGCCTGTGCACTTCCAGCTGCTGCTACACCCCGTGGTGGTAAATCTGGAGGTGGATCCGGACTAGCATCAGGTGTTGATTCATCGTTTTCTGTAATTATAATTACAGTTAAAAAAGAATATTTATGAAATAAACTTAAATACATTATCTTACATGAACAAAAGTAAAATGATAATATTCACATTTTAAACAGAACTTTATTTCTCACTAATTTAAGGAACAATTTCAGATTCCAAATAAAAATAATATTGTAAAACATTAAAAAAAAATACTTAAATCAAAATACGTAGCGTATTCGGAAACTAAGTACCGTTTCATTCTAGCGCCGTCGCAGCGCTGTGGTAGGCGACCCGCGGATGCACACTAGTCTTTCTTGTTCACTGACTTTCAATTGTCGCCATTTTGGTTGCTCTATGTTGTGTTTTCAGTTTGCTGTGCACATTCAAAATGTTTAAGACAATTAGTTCTCCCGCTGACTGCGAGATTCGTGCCGTGATTAAATTTTGGAACGCGAGGAATGTTAAACCGGCCAAAATTTATCGTCAAGTGACAGAAGTTTACGGTGAATACGAGATAAGTGATGGAATGGTGAGAAAGTGGGTAAGAATGTTTAATGCATGTCGAACAAATGTCCACGCCGAGGCTCGGAGTGGTCGGCCTTCTGTTGTTACCGATGATTTGGTAAGGAAAGTTGATGAAGCAATTCATGAGAACAGACGCTTCACAGTGACAACTCTTTCAGAGGCATTTCGACAAATTCCACGTACTGTTTTGTTCGAAATTGTGTCTGACCGCTTGAATTATCGCAAACTGTGTTCCCGATGGGTTCCAAAAATGCTCACTGATGTTCACAAAACAAAGCAACTTGGTAGTGCCCTGACATTTCTCACTCGGTACAGTGATAAGGGAGAAAACTTTTTAAACCAAATTGTGACAGGTGATGAAACTTGGGTGTGTCATTTCACACCAGAATCGAAACAACAATCGATGGAGTGGAGACAGACTCATTCTCCGAAAAAAGAAAAGTTCAAAGCGACAATGTCATCACAAAAAATCATGTGCACTGTCTTCTGGGATAGGAAAGGCGTTTTGCTTACTGAATTTCTTCCCAGAGGTGAAACCATTAATGCGGCACGATATTGTGAGACTTTAACAAAACTAAGGCGTGCCATTCAAAACAAACAAAGAGGAATGCTCAGTAAAGGAATTGTGTTGCTCCATGACAATGCTTGACCCCATATTGCTGGTGTCACTCAATCGTTAATTCAACAGTTTCATTGGGAGCAGTTCGATCACCCGCCGTACAGTCCAGACTTGGCGCCGTCCGACTATCACTTGTTCCTGCACATGAAGCGCGAGCTTGGTGGCAAGCACTTTGGATCTGACGATGACACAAAAAATGCTGTGGAGTCGTGGTTATTGAAACTGGTGGAAAGTTTCTTTGACAATGGTATACAAAAACTGGTCACCCACTATGACAAGCGTTTGATCATTGGTGGAAACTATGTTGAAAAATAGTTTAAGACATGTATTTTCATGTAAAAATAAAATTGGATTCGAAAAAATTGTTTTACTATTTTTTTTTCAAAAAGGTACTTAGTTTCCGAATACGCCTCGGACTAATTATGCATGTAATACAAAGTTAAAATTTGAAAGATTAACTTTGACAACCTAATTTAGCAGCCTTTAATTTATAATTCCCTCATTTCAATAAATATTTCACTTATGCAACCAATAATGAACTGCTATGAATATTTTTTACAATTAATACTAAAATATTAAAGAGACAAATTCAGTAAGCCCATAACACTTTATAAACATTGAACAGAAATCAATACTGGGACAGAAAAATAACAGTGCATTTCTTCCTACACTGCTCTAACTGGCGTGGTAGTTAATCATTTCTAAAATGTTCACAGTTTCAGGTTTGAATCATGGATAAATAATAAATGTTTGTAGTATTAATGACTATACAAACTATTATCAAACAAAAAAATAAATGCTAACTGAACTGAACTCTGCCTTAAGTTGGTAGATGCTGCATATCAAAAGATTAACTCACTTTCAATTTCAGGTACTTTAACATTTTACCAAATCTTTCATACAGCATACCAACACCTGTACAAATTTCTCAATTTTTCTAAAAAAATATATGTGAGGCTACATATTAAAAATATATATTTGACTGCAAACAGCAATTTTTCTAACAAAGTTTTAAAATTTTACAAGATCTTCAAAACAGCATTACATTGCCAAATGTGTTTCTATATTTTCAATTTCCTATTTACATCAGTTTAACAGCCAAACCTCTTAAACTTCTAAATGAGAAAAGCATTTGTAGCCATTTTGTGTACTGCTTTATTTCCAATAATTTAAATGTTTTATCAAAAACACTTTCTCAGATTTTCAATAACATTATAATCTATATGTAATGGGAACTTTGAATTTGGGGAAAAGAATACAGTGGATTCTAAATCTTCATAAAGGAAATTACTCAACAAAAATTTTTAAAAAACAAAACTTTTTAAGTTATGAGGCAAACTTTCTGCTATAACTTGCTCAGCTTAAGAATTTCTCTCTTCTAAAAGTCTTCAGTCAAAAAGTATTTGCACCAGGTTTACGTTGCAAAACATTATGCTCTGTCCATTGAAGTTAATTGTAATTAAATTATTTTACGCTTTATTTAGGTTACACTGTATCATATATATGGTGCATAGATAAAGTAATGAGACTGATATTTTTATAGTTTTTATTCAATGAAAATTACAATCTAACATTTTATCCATCAAACTAATAACATTACAAATAACAAAGTCACACAGCGTTGGAGACGCTTTTGCTGTTCTTCATAGAAACGCTAGAACATAGATACGGGAATTGCCTTCAGCTGGTTAGTTACTGCCTTTTTAATATTTCTCAGTGTCCTGAGATCATGTCCTTTGGGCCGGGTTTTCAGTCTTCAGAAAGATAAAAATCGGATTGAATCAAAGGGAAAAGACAGAGCTGAGGAGTCACATGGATGTAGCTACTTGCCAAAAACTCACTAATTGAAAATGAGATAAGACACAACTTGCAGAAAGTCAGCTAGTCTTGATACTTGGTCTCACACACATTACCCTTTTTTTATGAAATATTCGAAAAATTTCTCAGAAAAAGTGTTTTCACATTTGCTTTGAAGGCACAAACTCTTTGGAAATAATTCCCTGGGCATTGTAAAAGAAAATCAGCAAGCTGATGATCTTTGACTTGCTCATCTCATTCTTGCATTTTTTCATATTGGTGAGCTTGAAGAATGCCATGCCTAGTTCTGACACTTCGTTTCTGTGTCATACTTCAAATACCTAAGACTTATCAACAGTAATGACATGTTCCAGAAAATGAGGATAATTTTTACTTCACTTAAAAAAACCAAGCACTTGTCCCTTTTGTTAATTCTTTGTTACTACAAAAATTTTTGGAACTATTTTCACAGAGATTTCCCTCATTCCCATTTCATTTATCAGAAATCTGACAAATATTACTGTGCTTTAAATTAAACAGTTTATTTCATCCTTCTGATCATTATGACAGTCAAGTGATGATCAGGATGCACAAGATCCCAGGTTCTGGCAACACATTCATAGTTCTTTCAGTTGCAGGCCTTCCTCTATAATTCCTCTATAATTCATCTTCCATCAATCCCCTTCCTGCTGAAAATGCATTAAACCATCTCAAAACTTAGACCCTTGAAAAAAATGGATCCTCCAAAGTCTGCTGACACTTTGCAAAACGTTTCTGTCACCCTATGCTTAGGTCTGAAGCAAAATCTGACAGAACAATGTTGCTGAAAACTGATGTAATTCTTTTTCAGGACACATTAGAAAAATACAGGTTACCTCCTCCCAAAACAATTCCTACGTGGATCCAAGCAACTCAAAACTCATATTGACTGTGTACTAAATGTTCTCTCACTCTTCCTTCCAAACAGGTAGCCCACAGTTTTACCAAACAGAACACTACACTTTCAGTCTCATTACTTTATTTATACAACATTACTTTGTTTACACTTTTTATTAAGTGCAAACTGATGTCACAATTTTGTAAATATTTCCTCCTCACAACCAGTAAATATTTAACTTGAGTAAAGTTGACTGCCAAAGTCTAAAAATTAAAAAAACATTGGATTAGACATCAAAAAAATGTCCTTATTTTGAGGTAAAAATAAGTACAGTGTGGTTTGGATATTGTTTCAAGATTACCTAGCCAAGAATTTGAAATTGTGGAACAAGATATTTTGCTGAAAAATTTGATTTCTAAAATCTAAATGAATTTGAAAATCTAAGGAAAATTAAGGTTGATAAAGCAAAGACGAAAAAAAAAATCATTGCCTCAAAAATTATGAAATTGAATTAGATAACATATCTGAAAGTAATTTCACAGATGTTATTAATATCAAGTCTGGAAAAAAATCTTTCATGTATCGCAGAATTGTAAGAAAAAGGAGTAATATTTTGGCTTAGTATAGGACAAGAGAAATATAACTTGCAAATCACCCATTAGAAAAACAATGAAAACACCCTGCAACCACTATATTCATTGTCATTTAAACCCACTTTAAATTACCTGTGGTCAGCAAGCAGTGTTACCGCTCTATCACTGGCAGGTTTAAATTCCTGAAATATTAAATTCATTTTACTAATTGCAACTGTTAAAAAAAATATACTGCTTTCATCATTTTCACTTCACTTCATGTGTGCTGCGCATTCAATGCATAATCAGTTTATTTATTATCATGTAATGTGTGTAGTATTTATATCATGCTAAAATTGCTATAATACAAGGTATCCACAGTATAATGATTTTCAAAATTTCTTGTATTCTGCTCCAATTTTCCAAAAATTATATTTTTCTCAATTCTACTTCATCTTTCATTTTCAAATTACAGTGCGCAGACAGCCAAAATAAATATCCTTTACTTATTATCTCTTCATTCATTATTTTATATTTTTGTTGCAAGAATGTATCAACTTGACGACTAGCAAAATTTTCAAAACTGAATTTTGAAAAAGCAGCACTGGATCATCGAATCTCATTGTTTTCTACAATATTTTTTAATTGTTTATCTATAAAAATATTAGCAGCTAATTTTTTTATGTATTTCTAAATGAGTTAAGGCATATATATTTTTCACAGAAAAATTGAGAGTTCACATTTGGGAGACTTTCCTTGCAAGTATAAAATTTTAAAAAATAAACAATTACTCAAAGAAACAGTTTTTTTTAAATTAAAATATCACTATCTTACTTTTTACATTAGCTGCAGCATTTGACCTATCTCGTAACCTGCTTAAGCTATCAGATGGAGCTGTAGGCAAGCGAGGACGTCTGAAATAATTTTTTTAAATTTCATCATTGTAAAAATTTTGTGGCACAAGATACTACAGAATTTAAATACTTCATGAAACAAATCAAAATTACATCACTTAAAATAAGGGGATGTAGTACTTACGAACTATCTGTATTTAAATCTCCCAAGTGTCTCATACAATATTTGATAGTTGAAAGCCAGTTTTTCATATCATTTGAATCATGAGCTTCAATTACATACTCCATATGATTTTCAGTCTATAAGAGAAATAATCATTTATATGCCAGTCATAATTCCATGAAATATTTTATGTATGCTTCACAGTTGTATTCAAAAACACACAAAAAAAAAATAAGGATGGAACTTTCCAAAATTCTCAGTTTATAAAAATATAATTATAAAACTTTCCAGTCAACTTTTTAACAAAAATGCATTTTCTTATAAACTTTCTTATGATGTTAACACTTGATAAAGATCATACTGTGAAGAAACATTAAATTAAATGCTAGGTAAACTATAAAGATAAGAAGCACATTCTGCAAATTAATAACAGAAAATTATTAAGGACCTATGAACAAATGGGAACTGAATAAATTCAATTGAAGATATTATCTATGCCTGAATTTGCCTTTTGCAATACCATCCTAAAAATAAAATAGATCCCTAAGTAGTATGCATTATTACTAAACATGAATTCATTAACATAATTGTTAATAAGTTTGAGAATAAAATAAACTTTATGCAATTTATCAAGTAGCATTAAATATTTTACACTTATAATTGCTGGTCATATTTGAAAGAAGATAAGGGACATTTATGTTTTACTACAAGTTAGCTTTATGTTGATTTTTGTTACGTATCATTTTGTCACATACTTGGCCAGTCTAGAGGTTTAGTAAATAATCAGGTAGATTTTTATGTCAAACTGCATAGGTTAAAATGAGAATTAAGATCATAATCAGTATGATTCATAACCCAAAAGACTGAATGTTGTCACCACTGCTGCTTGTATAAAGAGAGACCTGCTGATTAGAACAAACCTGAAAGGCCTGATGTAGGCAAGGTTGGCAAGTGTTGAAAGTTAGTCCAGTTCTGTTTGATGCAGTTAGTGTCATAGCTTCGTGTACAGTTCCAGGGGTTGTAACCCAGTTAACATACTTTAAAGTTCCAATAAGCCATTAAAGCACCAGAGATGATAAGGTGTCTTGTATTATTTTAAGTCTAAGTAGATGCATAGAATATGTTTTACTTGAATTTTTACATTTTTATAATTTATCCTGTGATCACAGTGAGTATTAATGAAAGGCAATAACTCGCTTTAATATGTAGAGATAATTTTTAAGGGTAAGCAGTTAGATACAAATAATTAAATTAGGTAGTTTGATAACCTTAGTCATTATGGATTTACATGACCACTATTAAATTTTATTTTTTAACAATACTTGTTAAAAAAGCCCTATTTAAATCAAAATCTAATAAAATTTCACAGTTTAAAGTATATGTAATTTATGACACATTCTTAAACGATATTAAGGTAATTACGCATTGAAAGCTACAAAACATTTATGTTTTGTAACAACAACAGTCAACAAAATATTTATCTGTCATTTTAATTTGAAGACTTCTCAGACATTTTGGCTAGTTTATATAGATTTCCTTCTCTTTCAGCATCTGTTTTCTAACAATTAGAGATTTGTCTCAATATGCAAATCAATGCTCTTGCTAGTCTCTGGCATGTGTTATCTCCTAACTTGTCAACCTCCTCCACAATGTACCTATGAGGGCTTTACTTGATCTGGTAAAAGTTAAATATTCCCAAAACTCCCAGACAGGACGTGAAGCATATTATCGCTATGTCTGAAATTAACTACAATTATCAGACAAAGGTTTAAATATGCCTCTTATTTAAAAAGAGCTTAGAACATAAAGGCATGTTCTGATGCTAACAAAATCAATTACAGCTTACGGTGATGCAATTAAACAAGAACAGTCAAATTCAAACTAATAATGTAACTAGTGGTCAAAGATTATACAATTTTATTTTAATTTAATCTGGCTCAATAACTATCATATGAGGAAATAGAAATAGGGAATTACAGTAAAGGTTGAAATCATAAACAATTGGGTAATTTACATAATAATAACTGCACATATCTTTGAAGAATAATTTCCTTTACATATTCAGTTCCTTTCTTCAACACATTTCCTTTTCATTTTAGAATTTTTTGATTTAATTAAGGACTTCTGTTATTCTAAAAAACACTAAATGCATTTAGAATGTATAGAAAAAGCGGCTAATTTTATTTCTTTAGTAATATGAACATTCAGAAGCAATATGAAATATATATACTAAAGGCTGGTTAGAACAGATGTGGCAGAATTTCTAGAATTTAGTGACACACCAAACAACAAAATCTAGAAATGGGAAAACTTTTAGAATTTAGAGCAAGCATTGGAAGCAGAATTTAGAAAGGCACTAGGCAACATAATTTAGGATCCACAGAGATTGCATCAGGTGGGAAAATGCCTATGTGTATAATGCATTAAGAAATATCAGATGAATCTTTTAAAAATCTTTTAAATCTTTTAAATCCTATCTTATATAATCAAATCAATTTCTTTATTAATAAAAAAATCCCCTTCTTTAATGCCTGCCCATGTGATAAGATCAGAAGCATTTTTGATATTTTCCATGCTTGAGTCAAAGTGAAAAGTAGAGAAAATTAAGGAGAAGATAAACATGTTAAGATTCTAGTATCAGAAGTAAAACAATTCAAATATTATGTTTTCATTGTTCTTCCAGATGTTCTCCAAAATTAAGAAATTCATTGCAAACTTTCTGTAAAATACATCCATTGAGTGTTGATACAATGGAGACATTTTTCATTTTGTCATATATTTCTCAAATCTTCTAGAATCGTGGGTCTATAAATCTTGCCTTCAAATCCTTCTAAACTTTCCAAGCTGCAATGTCTAAAATCCTAAAGAAAAATTATCCGTACCAATTCTGTAACAGCAAAAAGCCAGAAATATTTTGGGAAAAAATAGGACAAAAAAAGTATAAAATTAATTTTATAGAGAAAACTGATGCACATTCTGAGAATTTTGAATATTCTGAGACAATTACATGGGAAAAACTCTTACTATGAAAAAATTAAAAACAAGACATTTTTAATTAATTACATAGCTAATTTTGGTTTTGCTAAGAGCTGTTTCATAAATTGTGCTTTATAGCATTATACCTTGTTTATTTTTCAGATTTAAAATGTTGTATAATAAGTTGCCAAAACGAAACTTTATAATATTAGAGCGAAAAATAAAAATGTCTTATTTTAATGTCTTTTTAAATATAATTTCAATATATTACCATTATTTTAATGAAAGTTATATCAATGTTACGATGTTTTTTTTAAAAAAAATCATTCGAAAAATTTTCAGATCTCAGAATTAAAAAGTTTCTATAGGAACTAATCTTAAAATCGCCAAAATGTTGAAAAGTCACCAAATTTAGAACCATTTAATACAAGAATTCACATCCCCCAAAGCAAAAAGTTGTTTAAGAGCGCTCTTTATTAGTAAAAATGAATTTTCGAAATGCTTATGTTTCACTTCTTGCTTAGAAACTCGAGTATCCCATCATTTATATTAGAAATAGAAACAAATTATAAATTATGAACACATTCAAAAGATAACCATATAACAACAGTGAATCGACAAAAATATTCCTCCAAAATGCTAATTCCACACTCAAAATGGACAGTCGTCATAAAAAGAGACAAGAAATTTCAGATGATTAAAATTAAGGACCTTCTGCTGATTTTGGCCAAAATTAAGGACTTTTAAGGACCAAAAATCGATTCTAAAAAATCTAAGGACTTTTAAGGACTCTTAAGGACTGTACAAACCCTGTGTTTTATATAATTTTTCAGATTTTCAGTATGTTTAAATTTAGTATACACTTCAGAGGTGATAAATTTTTCCCACCTAAGACCTATGTGGAATTTTAAGAAAGCAAATTGGCCTGGTTTTTCAGCCAATTTGGAAAATTCTGCGATGGATACACCCCAAGATACGTCCCCTCACAAGATATCTTATATCTTTTTAGCATCCCTACTAAAAAGTGCAAAGAGGAATATCCCAAGAGAACTTTTTTTTTTTTTTTTTTTTTTAATTTAAACCTTTTTTGGAATGTTGAGCTCTCCATACAAAGAAAAATGAGAGATAGGGCAGAATGGAGGCAGACATGACAGAGGGGAAGATCCCACAGGAATAGAGGCAGGTTGTTATTGGATGGAGAAGGGAGTGTTTAATGAAACAAAAAGTTAATGACACTAAAAGAAAATCTTGGAATGATTTACTAAACAGAATGGATAACAGAACAGATGGAAAGAGCTTCAAGACTTTTGAATACATTAAATGATAGGAAAAGAGTTTAAACCACCCTATGAGGATTGGAGACATGGTGCTAACAGATACTAGAGGCATAGCACAGAAATTTAATAAACACTTCCTGAATAAATATACCCATATATCACAGAAATGGTGCAATGAAAATGGCAAAAGAGTGGCTTGTGCCCTAACAGCAGCCTAAAAGAGGATATTTAATGATAATTTCTCAATAGAGGAATTAAAAGGGGCTATAAAATACTTAAAGGTGAAGAGGCAACTGGGTCCAGACAATATATTTCCAGAGTTCTTAAAACATCTGGGACCTATGACTCAAAACACTCTTTTGTCAATCTACAATATATTTTGGAACAGGAACATTAATATTTCATCTGATTTGGTCATTGCTGTGATTATACCTATCCATAAAAAAGATAAAACAATCAAGGACTTCGACTCATATAAACCTACATATGACTTCAGTATTGGCAAAAACATTTGAATAAATGCTGACTACTAGACTGATATTTTTCCTGGAAACTACTCGAATTATATAGAGAAGGAGCAGGTTGGTTTTAGAAATATATGTCTACCTCTAACTCTATTATGAAATTTGTTCATGCTGTAAAATCAGGCTTTAATTCTAAGAAAAGCTCCTTGACAATATCTGTAGATTTCCAAAGGGCCTATGATATTATCTGTAGGAAAAATCTCTTAAGCAAATATGAGAACAAAGAAGAGAAGGGAAAATGCTGGGCTGGATTGGAAGATTTCTAACTCAGAGATGGGTTAAGACTAATTGGAACAATACAGAGTCCAAATACAAGGAGTATAAGATCGGCCTTCCACAGCAGAGTTCAAGGAGTAAACCCATACTCTTCAACGTTCATGTTAATGATCTCATTAAGTCAACTGAGCATATTTGTTGATGACCTAGTAATATAAATAAAAACTAATAACTGCTAAAACTATCACAGACAGAAACAGCAACTAGAGAATAATATCAATAAAACTCTGACGACCCTGCAATCTTGGACCATTGGAAAACACAAAGCTAAATGGAAGTTGCATGACAAAATACCTCAGTTTTATGATGGACAGTAAGTTAAATTTTTTTCAAAGCATATAAGACACACAGTGATTAGTGCCAAAAAAAGACTGCCTATCTTAAAAAGCCTGGCCATTTCAAAATGGGGCTGTACCCACAACACTGTAAATCTCAATTACAACACCTATATAAAACCAGTTGTTAGATACGACAGTGAAATTCTGGTTTGGGCTGCACAGATAAAGTTGAAAATCCTGGAGAAGGCCCAGAATAAAGCTCTCCTCTTAATCATAGGAGCAGCAGTGTCAACTCCAACAGCAGCTTTACAATCCTATACTTCAAATGCTCAAACTGCTGTTCAGATTAAGAAACAGGCAGTTTATACATTTGCTAGACTCAAAGCATCTTGGTGAGCAAAGGATAAAAAACAGACAAGTGGGCATCTTCAGAACTCAGATTTCTCCAACAGAGATTTGTGAAGGCCTTTTGAATGATTTAAATCTCATTATTCCTGTTGAAAATACTCTGAAAACTTTATACCTTAACTCTGAGAACTGAAACCTTTCTAAGGTAAACCAAAACCTTTCTCTTAACAGACTGCCATACTAGATAAATGTGCACTTTCAGTTTCACCCTGCTGTTTGGATGCAATTTTTGCTGCGCTGTCTTCCTATCGCAACAGTATTAAAAATGTAAATATTCTGAAAATAGGCATGATTAGAGTGCCAACAAGATACAAGGTGATGTGCAATGTGTCAGGAAAGAAATGATGAAATGGATCCAAATTGCATAATGGTTTACACAGCGGAGAAGAACTAAAAAAAATTTTGTTCATGAGAAAGACTGGCACAAAGTGGACTTGACCTTTTTAGATTCGTGTGCAAGAGTTATGGAAATAACAGAACTACATCATACCAGTGATGTGTTTGAATGTGTAGAATAAGATAGAGTATTACCTACACACAGCATTAGCTACAAATGGTACTCACATTGATTTGTACTAAAACTATATTTTTAGTTCTTTCTCTCTATGTAAAGCACAATACAATAAACACATTCATTTCAGATATACATATCATTCTTTTTTATCACTTATTTCCCAAACATCCTATATATTACATAAAAAATTCAGAATCTTAAAATGCAATATAATTATTAGTTATGAGGAACAAAATACATAAATATATACCAAAAATTTACCTTCAGCACAAAAGTATTCTCGTGATCTGGCATTTCCAAAGCAGTAGTTTCTCGGGCTTCAGTTATCAAAAAACAGAAAAGGCCACTGCGAGGTTTCACTGACTGCAAGATTTTTCAAATTGTAGATGTGTTGTATTATTTTTCAATAAATAATAATTATATGAAAACACCTACATATAACTTTACAAGCTTATTAAATACATATTAAAATATTTCCAAATTAATAGAACTTTTCACCCTCTTAATGAAATAAACAGCATCAAACTGAAACAATTAAGAGAACATTTACTCTTTAAAATTTAAATGCCAATGTTATATAAACCTTGATTTACTTAATTTTAAATATATATATCAATTGCCACCAAATAAATACATACAGCAAATAAATTGCAATATTCTATTATGTATATATTTAGTAATGAAAAGCTGTTTTAAGTCTCAAATAGTTCAGAGGAACGAAACATATATTTGGAACTTATTAATCAACTTGGTTTAAGGTTTCAAAGTCAGTCAACAAGGTCATATCTGGAAACATCACAAATCATGGTGGAGTGGTTGGTGCTATTATGAGCTTCCCTTTCAAGGAGGGCATGAAAATCTTTGCCACATGCACCAAGTGCCGAGAACATCAGGCATCTGTCCAGTACATGTTGGGTTACGAGTACATGTTGGGTCAAGTACATGTTGGGTTACCGCTGCTTGGGTTTCTCTAAGGGAGGATATTTACTCCTACCCCGTCCTTGTGCTCGACTTTCTTAGCCCTCTGGACCTTGTTTGACTTCATCAGAAACTGGAGGAAAAGCAACAAGGCTTCAAAAGACTTTTCTCTTGACAAGTTCTGTTTGAAGTGTTAAACAGAGGTTATTAATAAAATTTCGGCGCAAAACAATTTTGCTATTTGTTTTGTTATGTATCATGTTCTGTATATATATATTTTTTATTTTCAATCTTCTTTTAATGATTCTCATTTTTAAAATTTCCTTAATTTGCCATTATTCAGTTTAGTTACTTTTACCCAGAGAGGGAAGGTTAGACCTTCATACTTCTGGAACTGAATTTTATTCATTTTTGTTCCAACCTTTACTTTTTGATTTTAAATATTTACTAATTAATTTAGATGCTTTAAGTTTATATATATATATATTTCGAGTTTTCGGTTTTAGATGAATTTTAAAGTCTTTAATAAAAATTTGATGAAATCTTTTTACGGTTTTGGATCTCAAATGGACCAGGTGAACAAAGCATCTTTTCAAAACATACTAATTGACTTTTATGAAGCTTTAATTCATTTTCCCTAGATGAGTTCCGAATTGGAGTTTCAAATCAAAGGAGATTAATTTTTATTTGCATAATTTTGTATATTTTCCATTCTGCACTTTTATTTTTTGAAACTGATCCACTTGAATTCTCTCTTTAATTGGATTAGTTTTGATATTGTGTTACACCTCTTATACAAGGTTGCGATTATTATATTATAGAGGAATTGCCTTGCTTTTATTCCTGTTTGCTGAGGAAAAGCAACCAATTGACTTTTTTGAATTGGTGTTTAAACAGAGGTTATTAATAAAATTTCGGCGCAAACAATTGCTATTTGTTTTGTTATGTATATGTTCTGTATATATATATTTTTATTTTCAATCTTCTTTTTAATGATTCTCATTTTTAAAATTTCCTTAATTTGCCATTATTCAGTTTAGTTACTTTTACCCGAGAGGGAGGTTAGACCCTTCATACTTCTGGAACTGAATTTTATTCATTTTGTTCCAACCTTTACTTTTTGATTTTAAATATTTACTAATTAATTTAGATGCCTTAAGTTTTATATATATATATTTCGAGTTTCGGTTTTAGATGAATTTTAAAGTCTTAATAAAAATTTTGATGAAATCTTTTTACGGTTTTGGATCTCAAATGGACAGGTGAACAAAGCATCTTTTCAAAACATACTAATTGACTTTTATGAAGCTTTAATTCATTTCCCTAGATGAGTTCCGAATTGGAGTTTCAAATCAAAGGAGATTAATTTTATTTGCATAATTTTGTATATTTCCATTCTGCACTTTTATTTTTGAAACTGATCCACTTGAATTCTCTCTTTAATTGGATTAGTTTTGATATTGTGTTACACCTCTTATACAAGGTTGCGATTATTATATTATAGAGGAATTGCCTTGCTTTTATTCCAATTTAGTAATTAATTTAGATTCTTTAACCTCCTAAAACCTGGCGAAATTCTCATAATACAGCCTTCAGACCGGCGTGATGTGAAACACTTTTCCCCCTCTTTGACGTTTTTCTAATGAGAAAAGTTGTTAGAGTGGTAATTTTTCTTCTCCAAGGATGCAGTAAAATTTACATGTTTGTTGGATGCTGTTCCATAGTCTAGAATGGGTTGCTATATTTGCGATTTTGGGTAGAGTAGACTTTAAGGTACCCCTTGTATTATGGCGAAATTGTTGTTTGATTTATCACCAAGTTGCTGTTTCATTTATGGTAGCCTGAGTAGTTGAATGTTATGGAAACCCTAATGTGACGTAATCGGGTGCATGATTGTGGGAAATTTTGAATCATGGGATGTTTCGTAAGCGTTTTTGTGGTGTGTGTTGGTTTGATTCTTTAGACTGTAGAATGGCCGAATGTAGTAAGATTAATTTGAAGTTTCTGTATGATTTGGAGCGAAAGGGGAAAAGAGCTTTATTTGACTGGTGTGTAAATGAAGGTTTACTTAGTAGCCAATATAAGCGTCCTGTATGTAGGAAGGATATGCGTCTAGTCGAAGGTAAAAACCGTTTAGATGGATTTGAATGGGTTTAGAAAGGTTCAGATGGTCACTATGTAAAGCGTTCAATCAGAAAGAGTACCTGGTTTGAAAAAAGTCATTTGAGTATGATTGATATTTTGATTTTTACGTGGCTCTGGGTGTACGAAGCGAACTCGAAAATCATGGTAAGTGAATATTTACTTTTGGTAGTGCTTAAATGTATAACATGTTTTTCCTTTTTAATGTTATTTTATTGTTTGGTTTAAAATGTATTTTATTGAGATTATGTATTTTTTGTTTGCCTATATTGTAGAATTTGGTGTTCCTTTGACTTTTTAAGTGAAAATATATCGATGTGTACATGGACAAAGTAAAGAGTGCACAATGCAAGTTTGTGCAATTCGGGGATTTTTTTTTAAGTGAAAATACTAGATCGACGTGTACATGGCTAAAGTCAAAGGAGTGCGCAATGCCATTTTCGTGCAATTCGGGGATTTTTTTTTTTAAGTGAAAATAAATCAATGTGTACACGGATACAGAGTTTGTGCAATTTTTTGTCTTGTTATTTTGGCTTTGCATGGCAAGCCAAAAAAACGAGTCAAAGAATTGCACGAAATCAGTATCCATGTACCGTCAAAACTCGCCAAGTTTCACCAAGGGGTACCCTAAACTATACTTTTACCGCATTTTTTTCGGTGTTTACTTTGCTTTAACTTAAGTTAACCTATATCCAATGCAGTATTTATTTAGAGCAAAATGTATGCAATGTTTATACAGTCAAAAGTCGTTAATCGGGACTCGGCGGGACTTCGGCGATTCCGGATTATACATCATCAGTTTAAATCTGGCAAGATGGCATGCAGAAATTATAAAATTAAAAATATGAAACCGTAATTTATGAAATAAAGAACAATTATGATCTAAAGGGTATCAAAATTTACAAAAAAAAAAAAAAGCTTAATATTTATTTGTTTACTTTATTAAACATTTCTTTCAATGTAAGTTGTTTAAGTTGCTTCGTTTTTTATGTGATATTACATTCTCTTTAATTCTATAAACAGACATAATTTCTTGTTCAGTTACAAAGTTGCGCTGTTCAAGTCCTATAATTGCTGTGTCGAGAATATCGACTAATTTGTCAATCGAATTTTTTTAGTTTTCAATAACCTCTGTCACTTTCTTCGGTATCGGAAGCGAATTATAATGACGAGTAATTTGATTTAAATCATATCAAAGACGGAGTACATCGAGATGCAATACTACATTTAGTTAGGAATTATAAGCAAAATAAAAACATCTGCCCTGAAGATAAGGATAGTGCTGACAGATCAACTTCTAATTCATTGCGTGGCGTTAAAGATAAACAAACGTTAAAGTTTAGATAAACAAAGGATATGCCTTTATCCAATTTTTGCAGCAATTCCACTTTTTGTTTAATGGACTTCGAAACATACTTTCGCTTTGTAGATCCTTTACATATTAGTAAATATATATCAGAAATTCTACTTGACATAATCGAAAGTTCAAGCTTACTTTGGCTAATCTTTGGAATATGGTAACAGGTAGTTTGGCGACATTTTGGTAAGGCGATAAAAGTTATTAGCTAGGACTTTAACAGTGTACATGGATAAAGTCAAGAGTGTGCGCAATGCCATTTTTGTGCAATTCTGGGATGTTTTTTTAAGTGAAAATAGGTCGACGTGTACATGGATGATACCGTGTACGTGCAATTCTTAAAAATGCGGCAAGCAGTGGGCAATTCTGCACTTTCTCCCAATTTCGCACCTAATCTTCATCATGATTAAGCATTTTTGTTCCATTAAAGCTCTAGTATAAGCATAATTCGGCTAGCAGATTGTTGGGGAAAATGTTGAGTAAAAAAAAAAATGCCTTTACTTCGTGAAAACAAAATGGCGTCCAAAACAAAACTAGATGGTTGCTGTAGCAGGGTTGGTCGCCAAATTTTCGCCAAAAAATCACCAAGTTACCATAATTCAAAGATTAAACCTTACTTTTATAAAATTGCTCTAACAGTCTGCAAAAAATAATAAGCCGAATCCAATTCGAAGATTAAGGAACAACGCAATCTGCATCATTAACTGAATTAGATAATTTTAGTTTAGCTTATACCATCCGTTATACATTAAATGCGCATTCATAAACGTATTTTGTGCATGCGCACACGCATATTCGCAGCCGTAAAGGTCTTACGCGCATGCATCAACGCGACGCATGCGCAGAAAGTTTGTAGCTTTGGGGTCCGGATTATAGATCATTCCGGATTATGGGTGTCTGAATTAACAACTTTTGACTGTATATCATTTACTATTTCTGATCAATCTCGGCAATAATTTGTGAATTTTACGACATAGTTTTCACACTTCATTTATATTCACATATTTTCTTATCAGAAATTAAAAAATGAGAATAAAACTTTAATTATAATAAATATGAACTAGCTTTGTAAATCTGCAGGTTAGAATTTGATTTTTGATAATCTATTTTCATTAGCAAAATAATAGTAATGAATAAAATTTAATGGAATAATGGTACTTTTCCGTTTCGTCGGCGCAAATCTCGCCAAGCAGACTTTATTGGGGACAAGAAAATTAGCACCATAAAAACTCTCTTACATAATAAATTTTTAACAATTAAATATTAATTACACAGATACACTGAGAACTCGCACACAAGTGGTAATGCTAAACATCATAACAATTACATCAATTTATGACAGAAATAATAATGGAAATAAAATTGACTCTTTTCGAATGAGCGAAATAACAGGGTGTCTAAAAAAAAAAGATTGAAAAGAACAATTCTATCTCAAATCAACGTATTTATGTTGATTGCTGGAAAGAACTCAAAACATTTTGTTCACCAGAAAGACTGGCAAGAAGTAATCTTTACTTGGTTGGATTTTCATGTCCAAATTCACTAGACCACACTAGTGATGCTTTTGAACATGTGGAATGAGAGACATAGTCCAAGCTATAAGTAATACTCATTTACAAAGAAGTATATACAAATTTTACTGCCCCCCCCCATTATCATGGCTCCTACATTATCATTCATTTCATCTGAAATGAAGCAAACTGTTTCTTTCTTGGAAGAATGATGTAGCATCTTTTTCAGTTATCAGTAAATCAAAAATTGTTAAAAATTAAAAAGAGGAGGAAATACCTTAAAATGCAGTCTACTCATACTTCTTGCTTTCCTCAGTCAACAGTAAACTGAAAATTGTTAGTATAACTTTGAAAAAAGAAAACAGATTAACATGTTGCCTACTCAGAGCTTTTCTCGTGACAAATAAACTAATTAAGTGATCATTGTTAGTGTAAACATTAATCAACAACAATTCAACTGCAAGATTCATAAATAATGGGAAATATAACAAGATATATTGAAATTACATTGCACAATAAACAAAAATGCACATGGCAGTAATCATTTTACGAAACTGCAATAAGTATCTTAAAATTTTTTGGTGCTACCAGCTTTCCCTCTCATCTGGTAGGAGTGAATTTATGACTGGACAAAGCAGTCCCTCTCTAGCTGCCATTGGTGAAACATCGAAGCAACCTCGCTCATGTCGTAGTACACTGGTTGACTTTCGAACTAGCATACTAGCTACCTCAGTGGGATTCCGCTTGCGGTTCTTTGATTGTATCCAATGTCTTACAGTGATGCTTATTATTTGTGCACATAATATATTTTCTAATCTAATCACGTTAAAACCAGGCATATCATCTTCATCCTTGTATTAACACATATTTCTATGGAATGGTGACGCTTATCTCGGCTATGGTAAGGTGTGAAAAGTTCTTATCTTTTTCTGAATGCAGTTAAAAGTTGATTCCCACAGAGGTTAAACAAACAATATATGCACTTTACAAAAATTTAAGCAGGTTACATTAGTACCAGCATTGGTGTTTTTTGTTATTATTGCAGCATTTAAAAAATTGGGACCTGTAAAATTGGAAAAATACTAAATTATTTTAGTCCTCTAAAGCAATGTACACTTTAATATAACAAGCATAATTATTTCATATATATGAGTTGTTCCTTCTCATCAGTTCTTTCCTGTACACCTTATATTTACCTCTGTTGACTTTTGATAATCTACTGAATATAAAATAAACTAACTAACAGACAAGTAAAAGAATGACACATGAAGCATGATAAGAGTTTCACCTGAAGATTCTAATAAAATAAAATTTTCAAAAGGATTTATTATTTAAAATTCTAAAGGTATAGTTCGACTGCCTCATCCGCGACCATGAGCAAAAACACGCATGTGCCATTCGGACCGAATTATTCTCAAAATTGTGTGGGAGGATGGGGACTTTCTTTCCCTCCAGTATAGCTCTTTCCGGAGAAGAGGAGACCTTTCACGTGGCAGCAAGTAATGCCGCCCCTTTTGGGCAAATCTATGTGTTTTGGCAGAATGCCAACCAAGATTGCGCCTAAGACGATCGAACTATACTTACATATTATCTCTTTGATCATGAAATTGTTACCAAGCAATTTATTGACAGTTAATGATAAGCATGATGTAACAATACTCATAACATCCGCACTTTTGTTTCAGTTATTTCAACCGATTCTTGATAAGTGACATTTTCTTTCCATAAACTAGGATATAAAATACCTGTTGTATATTTTGCTGGATTTGGTTGGGGAGATTAAATTTTGGGTACTTTTCTGTTATATACCTGCCATGCTTTTTGGCCCCTGACAAAGAGAAGCCAAACACATGCCAACAGCTAATGATAGCGTCGTCTGAGGATCATGTACTTGTGTGTATGTGAAAAAGAATAATTAAACACGCAGTATGTGAAAAAGAATAATTAAACATGCACACATATATTAATATAGCACTGTTAAAATGTGTGATAAGTGCATAACAAAAAATTACTGAAATTTGACACCTCCCTCCTACAGAACAGCAAAGAGTGGATTATTTTCAAAGTTATTGGATCCTACCATAAACAAAAGAGTGCACTTAATGGACATGATATGGTCAACTGAATATGGCTGATAAAAGAATGTAAAAACCAAAGAAAGCCTTTTTACAAAGCATCAAAATGCAGAGTGTCAAATACAAGTAGTTAAATAAAGAGATTTCAGTTCTTTCTGAATTCTACAGGAACAATTGGTGCAATGATGGCAGGATCTCTGCCAACTTTCAAGGTCGACGTAATAATACATAAGTACCATTTTAAATTAGGCAAAAAAGCAACTTTATGTTACCTTTCTGTTATCCGGACTGGATTCAAAATGTATGTATGTGCATGTTATGTATGTGTGCATGTACATATGTACACATACATACACTTCTGAATCTGGTCTTTCAACAGCAAAAAAGTACCCAACCTTAGTGTTTAAGTTTTAGTGGTGTAGGTTTTAAATGAAGTCTATAAATTTTGAGGTTAATCAGAAAATTGTTTGCTTCTGAAGAAGAGGGACTGGATCACACTCAAAACTTATGACAAAATTTCTTTTTTTTTTTTTTTTTTTTTTTTTTGGTCTAATTTATTAAATACTTATTAATCAATCGAATGATTGCTTTTCCCCCCTTTATTTCCAGGTTTCCACTTAAATATTGTTCATAGAAAAAGTTATTTTCAAGAGAGACAGACAGAGGGAGCCTCTTCTTTAAAGCAGTAAACATATGATAGTTGCACAATTTTTATGATATTTGAATGTTTCTCTTCCATATAATTACTGGATATATTATATACAAAAATTTGAATGGAAGAACCAACCATAGCAAATGGGAAAAAGGTAGAAATGCTACACTGAATGATGGTTTCCATACATATATTTTTAAAAAAATGCAATTTAATTAATCCTATGGTCACACATCAATAAATAATTTATAATTAAATTATAAAATAAAAAAACTACCCAATGCATTTACATACTTCCACATAACAATAACTATTTATTAATAATATTTCTTACTAGATTTTATTCAAAGCATAAATACATAAATGGCCTTATTAAGGAAATTTAAATTTTATAAACATATGAAGACATTTGAAGTATCCACAGATCAATAATTTCTTCTTAAGGAACATTTCTTTACTGCCTCTTTAAGACTAAGGTATGCAATAGAATTAATGCTTTTACTTTAACTACTATTTTGATGTCAATACTTGTACTGTTTCATTCATACCTCATAGAAGAAAAAAACTTATTTGCAATCATCATCGAATCATATATAATTAGATAACTATGTCTATACGCATACACTTTAGACTTACCTTTGGCGGGGAATAGAATTCTAACATGTAACCTCCAGTAGTTTTAACTAATACAAGTCTGCATTTTTCCCACTTCTGTCTCCCATCCAAATAATCACCAGTTAAATAACTTACAATGCCTTCCCGAACACATTCAACTATTATTTTCGTCAGCTTTGTTTTCTCGTGTTTATCACACCGTGTACGTCTATCGTGGTGGTGCGAAAGTTCAACTTCATCAGAATGTTGTTTATGAAAAAGTCCTTTACCGCGTTTCAAACCTTTAAAAGATAAACGCCTAAAAAAAGCTCTGTGATGAGTTTTTGGAGATTCTCCTTCAGGATCTGATAGATCACTATAGTCTTCATGATTAGTCACTAATCCACGAATATTCTCCTGAGAATTTTCTTGCGTTTTAGGTCTAGTTCTAGGAGCTTCACCAGCACTTGCTACGTCTTGAGCACTATGACCATTAGAAGATACCGAGTTTTCACCAACTTTCTTTTTAACTTCTAAATCAAAATATTCGATGAAGAAGTCAATAAATTTTTTGCTGATTTCCTGGTTACTTACAATCTTTCCAAGATTAGGATGATCATTTATAAACAAACGATAACTTTGGGCGAAATCTACGGCAGCGACTCGAGCATTTTTCTCACAAAACTCGGGCCAGAGAGCTTTTTCGTCGGTATCACCGTTACTTGTAGCAACTGCAGCCATGATCACTGTATAAAGAAAGACAAAAATATATCATAACTTCTTTGGAATTCGACAAACGCACACACGACTCAAAATTTTATTCCGCCTAATTTAAATGCCATCACACCACTGTCTACTAAGCAGCCATACTTAGTTACGGAAGTAACTGCGTCTGCGCACAACTATCAGCACAAGTGGGGGAGCGCGATGCGTATTGAATAAAAATTTTTAAAGAAAATTATCAATATTACTATTTGTACAGCCAAGCTATTCAATATAATAAACCTCTTCAAAAGCATCCGTTCCTCAGCTCAAGATATATGTTTTTTAAAATCAGTTTTGTAAGCTTGCTCGTGCGTTCAGCAATCAAATGCACAACCAGCATTTTATTTTTGTAAAAGAAGTATTACCAACAGGCTTTTCAACATAAATCCATGCAAATAAAATAGAGAAAAATAGATCCACAGACCCCCCTACCTGCAAGGATACTATAAAGATACTCTACTACTCTAACAGAATTAGGAAAACATGACGAAGTTGAACGAAATATGGAAATTTTATCAGATCAATTACGCTGTGGGCAAATAAATGTAAATTCATTTAAAAGCAATAGCGAAACTCTTAACGCTCAGAAATCAAATTCTAAAAGAAATACAAAGATCTCCTTCTGCTCAAGCAGAATTTATTAAAGGATCCCCTATGACAAATACCAAAGAATCAGACTGGTAACACCTACTAAGATTTGCAAAAATTCAGAATCCTAAAAATGGAAAATCCTTAATCAAACCAATTTAACTCTCTAAACTCTGAAGAAAATGTTAATCCTGCTCAAGTAATACTGAAAATAAGAATGCTGAAAGAGAAAAAATTCATCCGATCATTTTCCCCCTGAAAACTGATGGAATAATACTGGCTGAAAGCTGATGGAATAATAATTCACAAACTTCACATACGCGAAATTTGTGAAGACCAGCATAAAGATTTATGATAGCTCTTTCACTTTTTGTGTATTTTAAAAATACAATAGATTTCAGAAATGTCACATATATAATGCAAAATAAGAATACGTTTGTCCCCATCTATCTGATAAATAGCGATAGAAACGGCAGAGCAGTTTTGAAAATTCCTCCAAATTCAATTAGCGAAGAGATCGTTTACAATGATCTTGAAAGAGAAAACTAACTAACCAAGTTACTAAAGTTGAGCAGTTCATGAAAAAGGTGTAAAGCTCCTTATCTATTTCCTCAAAATACTACATGCAAATCCAACTTCCAATTAATCCTTCCACTAAATCCACCATCCATGTTCAGTTTCCGCGCAAGCATAGAAAATACCAATCCAAGAAAAGATCAATTCAGTGCTACAGACGTCAGCATACAAAACATGCATACTACAAAAACTAATATTGTTGTAAATGCGGAGAAAATCATAGAAGCAAACATTGTACACTAAATTCGAAAGAGAAGCCAATTTGTACTTTTTGTGAAGATAACTCAGGACATTTCCAAAGACACGTTTGCACTCCTCGAAAAACTAGGACAAACACGCTGAAAGAATCAGCTTTAGGTTTCCTACTTAAAGTGATTATTATTAACTCTGAAATCTATACTATAATGCGGTAGGTATATTTTATAATCATTAAAGCGTACTGCTATCACTCTGCAATGAGTAAGATGTTTCAAATTTAATCAGAAGATTCGACCATATAAAAAAATGTGTGTATTGCCTCTCGGCAAAATCCAATATATTTGTCTTTCGAATTTAACAAACTCAGCAATTCAAACGAAACATGCTCCACTGCCCGAAATAAAGTACTTTTACCTTCCATGCGACAGTGTGTTGCTCAATAAATAGATGTAGAGACATTTTGTTTTCTTTGGATTCAGGAGAGAATAAAATAAGCAGTGCCCTCGCCGGGACTCAAACCACGGACCTTTCGAATATGCGTCGAGCGTGCTGACCACTACACCCCGAAGGCATGCTAAGAAGGCGGGAGAAATACCTTATATACACTCCCTTTTAAAGGGCGACTGGTGGCGGTGGGACCCAACCGCCAAATCCTGGTGGTGAAGAATCATCATTCACCACCTTTTAGTTCGGGCGCCACTGTAGAGATATTAGGTTTTCTTTGGAAGCAGGAGAGATGAAAAATGAGCAATGCCTTCGCCAGGATTCGACCTACGGACTTCTCGAATACGCGTCGACCGTGCTGACAACTACACCACGAAGGCATGCTAAGAAAGCGGGAGAAATACCTTATAGGCTGAGATACATTTTTTCAAATTTACTGTTATTAATTAACAACTAAGCAATTTCAACGCAACAAATACATACTCATTTCAATTGTTATTTATTACTAACTGGACTTATGAAATTAGCTGGATTCATTAAAATCACCTGCACAATATATAAAGATAGAGTATTCGTTTTTTTGGGGGGGGGATGTATCATTCATACAAATCTACAGTTTCCCCGATCTTGATGAAATTTTGCGCACTTCAAAACAGGAAGAAGGTCACTGCCTGCATAAGATTTGGGGGAAAAAAAAAAAATCCGCGCCACGGGATCCCTATTCAAGGTATTTTATATTAGAATGTTGCACTCACGTCATCCATCTTAAGTTCACTCCACCACTGCAGCGCACGGGCGTAGCAAAAGTCTGATGGCACCTGGTGTGGAGTTTTACCTGGTTGCCTTCATGTCCACCAAAATATTAAATGAAATTTAATGAGGAAACAATTTTTTTATACAGTTGTTTAAGTAAAGGCAGATAGTTAATTATTTTGTAAATAATTTGTTTATGAATGAAAAAAACAAGTAAAATGCCTTTTAACAATAAAGCCAGTTTAATACGCAATGTAAGAAATCTTTTTTTCATCGTGATAGTATCTAGTGCATAACTTTATTATTACAATAGAATTTAATGAAAATTCAGTTTTTTACAAGCTCTGTTCTCTAAGCTGTAATTCAGCTAACTGTATTTTTAACATGATATTCAGAATTTTTTCGTTCTAACTTTTTGTTCTGCACACTTTGAAATTGCGTCATCAAAATCGGTACCTTTAAGCTACACTATTTTCAGTTTATAAAATGGCTGAGCTAGAGAGTTTTGCTTGATTCACAGTGAATCTCAAATAATTCTTAATTAGGTTGAGTTTCAAAAGACTCCTCCTATATGATGCATCAAAAACACATAAAGTTAACAAAAATCTTAATGCTAAAGTGAGATTGGAGACAAGAGTCGAAAAATTAATATTCAACCACAAACTATAATAATGTTAAGGAAATCAAATATGAGATTCTTCTTTTGCGTCTTTTAGAAATCTTAAACATGGAATTTCTGTAAGGATACCATCTGCACAAAGATCATCGTAATTTTTAACCAAACATTGTTCAAACCTCGAAAATTCGGTTTCCGAGTTCAGATTTCTAGGCTCTAAGACTGCAGACGATCTGCTATACATTCCATGCCTTTGCAACTAGTATCGATTTCTTGTAGAAACCCGCCAAACGCACCCTAACATTGATCTTTTTAATTCTTCACTCAGTCAGCGGCTCGTCTGCTGCTTTCTTCTTGACAGTTCTTCCTTTTACTACCGAAATGCCCATCTCTTCACACGTGTCTTTTGTAGATTGCAGTGTTTCTTCAGCAAGATAATTTCTTTTGTCTTTCAAAAGACGTTTTGCTTTCTGATCTTGATAAGACTTCTTGAAGCTTATTCCAAAAATCTGTAAATATACTTTTGAGCGGCGTTGACTATTTCTGAGACAATATTCCATACACACAATAAGCCGAAAAATTACACATTGTAATTTGTATTGGTACCCACAAACTAAACACAGGATTAACAGCTTCGTGGACCGTTCAATAACTTCTAAAATATCTTCAGTTATGTCAACGACTATCTTCCCAGTTAGTTGAAATGACTACTACTTTATTTCAACATTTTCATTTCCTGTGTTAACGTAACGAATGATTTCGCTCATTTGATCTATGTGCGAGATATCTGGCATACAGGTCAAAGATGATATTAAAATACTTTACATTTTTATATCAGTCAAATTCTTTTCCTTAACCATTCCACCCCGAAGTGAGATTATCTTTCCCCTGTCTAATTTGGTCTTAACTTTCATGATTTTTATTAGGTTTTTCTTGCACCGTCTTCTTTCATGCCTGATATTAATATCGAAGATTTAACAAATTACAACACAGAGCCAGCCAGAGAATTGACTTCCAAAATTTCGACCTTTTTGTTTTTAAATTTACAGTGCTCTACTTGGACAGTGTCACTTCATATAGTCGTGTATCTAAAAAAAAGAAAAAAAAAAAAAAGTCTCGTGCGCTAGAGATAATTTTTTTTTGTACAGTGTTGCCATTGCTCGCTTTGAAATTGTTGAATGTGTTAACAAAAAATTCGTTAATGTGTTAGAAAATATGAAATCAATAATAAAACTAATTCCAAATGCCCATATTTCGGTGGAGGATTACGTTATTCAAAATTTGATGGCTGTAGTTACTGTTGTTTTATTACAATGCGAGAAACATACACTTTTATGCAGATTCTTCATTAATTAATTTCTTTAAATATAACACACAACAATAATAACTTGTGGTAAAAAATTTGAAAAGCAAAACGGACATTTAAATTTTTCGACGCAAAATGCCAAAAATTAATAGTTCTCCTGAGCTTTTTTTTTTTTTTGTAAAAAAACATATTACTAAAATAATTCAACATTTTCATAATATCTAATTAAAATCGTCTGCAATAAATGAAAAAACGAACTTTTATCGAATTGATTTGGTTAAAGAAACTAGCCAACAATCTAAAAAATTGTTTTTAATTCAAATTTTCTTTTTAGAGATTATTCATTATTTTTAATGTTTCTCTCAATGGCTCAGTCACGAAAGGAAACGTTGTTAGAAACTCACAGATTAGTTAATGATTTGTATCAAAAGAAAGGAAAATCTATTAGAAAAATTGAAGATTTACTTAATTTAAATAATTCTAGAGTTTTTATATTATTAAACGTTAATAAGGAACAGAATCGTATTCAAAACAAAAGACCAACTAAGTCATCATATGGAATGAAACGTGTTATTCTAAGGTATATTAAAAAAAAAAAAAAAAAAAAAAAAAAAAAATACAAGACAGGATGCTTCTAAACGTGTTGCCGAACTACGTGAATATGTGTAAAGAAGAGTAATGCGATGTGCAGGATATATTGAGAGAGTAGCATGCTATTCAACAATGTGGATTTCATATCTTTCCCATTCATCATATTCATACCAAATGGTTTCTTTTTGTTTAAAAAACTGAAGTAACTTTTATATGGTCCCACATTACAATCATGATGATAGTTTTAAAGCAGACAATGTTTTTTTATTTGTAGGAGTCTGACACTTTACAGATCATCAGGGAGAGTGCTTTGAAATTTACAGAAACTATGTAGAAAATCGAGAAAGTATTTTTACACATTTATCTTGTACAATTCAGGTTTAAAATGGATTAACAGTTAGCTATTCTTATTCTCATATGATTTTGATAGCCACTTAAATTTTCACTCTTGGAAGTGCTAAACAACATTAGAAATCACAGTTGTTCTGTTTACTTGAAATAAGAATATAAATTAGGATAAAAGTAAAAGCAGAAGTCTGAAAATTAAACTATACAATCCAAAATTCAGTGTTAAATATTGCATGACTAATGTCAGAAAAAGCATACTGACATTAGATATTATACCAAAACTCATTTGAAAATTTATCATAAGAAAGTTTAAAAAATTAAATTATATAAAAGTGTTCTCTGGAAAGAAACTTTTTGTAAAGTTTCATTCATGTATGTGCTTCTTAAAATACGAAAATTAGACAGTGTATGAAGAAATAAAATGTAAATAAATTGAAATTAACTAACAAAAAAGAAACTAGTTAACCATATAGTTTTATTACATACATACAAAACTAATTAAGGCACCCTTAAGTACAAAAATGGTAAAAATAAAGCATTTCATATACAAGATGATCAATATAAAATTCAAGTTACATAGACAAAATTAACTATTATGAATTCTGAATGATTATAACTAGATAAAAGTTCAATATTTCATTAAAGATTTTTATGGTACCAGTTGAATCATGAAAGGCACATTCTATATATTAAAACTTCAAAATTAAATAGATATGTTGAAAATATTTCTCTGAAAATACTATAAATAAATTTTAAAAATTCAGAAAGAAATAAAAGTATTTAAGAAAAACATTTTCTTAAAAGTAGTTTATATAAAATCAGAATATATGAGATGGGTAAATCTGCAAAACTAAAACAGTTTTAGAGGATACTTTGTTACCTTTTATGAATAAATGTATAAATACAAAAAGCAAAATGAAGTAAAAGTCTCATTAAATAAAACTACTGAAACTGAAAAACAAAGTTTATAAAGAATACAGATTACAGCTTTAAAAAAAACGTTTTTACAGCACAAAGAATGACAAAGATAATAAAAATGGTAAGATTCTTTTGAAATTCAAAACAAATATTTGAATTACAAAAAAAGAATATGGATCCCTATTCTAAACTTGGACCTCAATATATGACTAAATGCAAACAAGATTCACTGAACAACTATATTTATTGATGCTTAAACAGTTTCTACTATCTAAAAATACCCATACCTATATAATTGGCAATGAGTTGTAAGGTATTTATAAAGTATATGAAAGTTTTTTAAATTACTATACTTCCTTTCAATTAGAAAAAATCAGCTATTGCTGTTAATACTATATACTAATTTAAGACGTACAATAAGAATGTGCACTACAAAAACAACTACAGATCTTAGGAACACAATTTTATTTTGAAGGAACTTTAATTGACTTTCGATTATTTCTTGCACTCAAGTTTTCTTTATTTACAGAATTATAGCATAACGTAATATGAAAATATATATTTATATACACCGTAAGTGCACTAATGCAAATAAGTGGGAAAATTACTGAAAATCCAACAAACTATAATTAATGCAAAAACTTAAAAAAAACTAAAATTTACAAAATTATTTTCTACTGTGCTTTAAATTAAAGCAACATTGTTATGCAATGCACTGCAACCTATAACAGTAAAATAAAGGACAAAAAAGAAATCTAACTAAATAAAAGTTAATACATTTTTAAGAATTTATCATACTAAATATTTGAGCTGTACGGGGAAAACAAAGTAATATATATTCATGATAAGGCACACCAAACATCATTTCAATTTACTTTCAAACTATCTAGTTCCGCATTTATACATGGAACAAGCAATGCTAAGGCCTCTGAATCGAGAAATGGAACACAAATGAAGTCAAACAAATGTCAATGCTAACTAAATTTATGACTTAAATTTAGATCTAGTAAGATAAAAACTGATACATATGAAATGCACTCATGTTACTCGTTTTACTTTAATCTATTAATTATACACTAAAAATAATTGCATCTTTCTATAAACAGAAGTATTGGTCAATATATCACAAAATAGATTTTAAGTAATTATAAAATGCTGATATATAAACTCCTCCTAAATGCAAGATGTATTTACGATATGCTCATTAAACTACAAGTTTCCAATGCTCTTTCTTTACAAGTACAGTAATCAACATCAAAACTATAAAATTAATTCTAAAATATTTCATTGTTTTGCACTAAAGGAAATTTCTTATGTTTTGATCATACATACTTTTAGATCGCATAAGAAAAAAACAAAATATGCGTGTTTCATAAAGTACTTAAATGCACTGCTAATATAGAAGACAAGAACAAATATACACACATATCCCTGCAAAATAACAGGGTAAATAAATACATACATTTAAAAAAATTTTTTTTTCTTTCATTAAAATAAAAGTTTTTTTTTTTAATAATTGTTTTAAAAACTTAGGGAAATTAGACAAACATGAATGTAAAAACAAGTTATACTATTAAATCTTGAAATGTAGTGCTAAAAAACTACACTGGAACAAACTAAAAACAGTATGGAGAAGCAGAACAGGACTAGGTGCAAATTCATTTAAATAAAAACAAATAGCATTTTTAAAGTCTTTTTTTGGCTTGGATAAACAACAATATAAAACGAACATAAGCTTCCTGCCTAAACACAGGCACAAAGAAATACATAAAAACCACTGAGGGGTTAAGCTTGCAGAATGACAGCAATGCTATTCTTCATCTTTTAATTTTAGAGATTGGTTTGTAGGTGACGGTGTTGCATTACGTCGCTCCTCTTCTTTTATTTTTTGCTGCATTTGTTGAAGCATTTCTTGCATGCGTCGGAGTTCAGCTTCTTTCTCTTGGAGTATGCGATCTTTGTCTGAGATTTCAGGAACTCTGCATAAGAAAAATAAACAAATGATTAAAAGAACATAAAAATATAAAAAAATAAAACTATATTAACTAAAATAACATGCCAGAGCAAAAACGCTGGAGGTACTGAAAGAAAAAGATTCAGCATAAGTTGCATAAATTTACATGGCAAAATTCAACAGCTTGAACGGAACACCTTCCTTTTTTAGCAGCAGGAGTAGAAAATGACGAAAATTTATAATTTTTATGGATGATTTTTTATGTAAATGACGAACCATTATAATTTTACTGATCACTTTTTGAAATATATGAAGAGATGATAAATATGATATATGGAAGAAAAGTATTTGATTAAGCCAATGAAATTAAGAAATAAATAAATAAATAAATAAACATTTTAAGTGCAAATTTTATGAAAAATTTGGGTAATAAAACATAATACATAAAACAGAAGTTCACAGAAATTTACGTGTAGACAATTCACTTCTGGAATAAACTTATTCCAGAAATTTATTAAGAGAGGGATAAAAATAATGACATCTTTAAATGAATAATGAACTATATTTTTAATTCCCTGCTGTGCAACGCAAGCATAGACGAAAATTTTAAAATTCCCCATGCTGAATCTGTGGCCGATGCATTTTTACCTAATGCTCACTGATGCATTTTTATCAATATTTACAAATTACTGCAACTATTTTGTCAATTTCTTACAAAAGGAAAAGACCGATGACTCACAATTGCATAAAATTATTCGTTATTCATATTTTACATTTTAAGCATATATTCATTCTGAAAAACCAATTAACCTACATATATAAGCAGGTTTTCATTTCTTTTGTTTTGAGAACAATACATTAAAAAAAAAAACTGTTCTCTTTCAGCAAATTAATGCCCAAATACTGCATTCCTGCAAAAATTTTACTGCAGTTTCATCCAGTGCAGGCAAACTACACAAATGCACTTTTTAAAATTGAGTTTGAGACACAAAAAAAAAAAAAAAAAAAAATCTTGATGAATTTGTAAAAAACATTCAGAACACAGCGGAGGGACATATGAATATGATAATGTTGCCTGTTAAAATTGAAGAATTGTTATATGCATATGGTTGCCAGAGTTTGGTACACTCTAAATATTTGGCAACTTCCACTAAAGTGATTGCGATTGTATGTAAATACATTTTTATTTAGCATTTAATTATTTTTCATTATTTTATATAATAAATTAATTTAATGATAATTATTACAAATGAAAATGATACAATTGAATAGATAAAATGCTTGTTTATGTTTACCATTCCAAAAATTTTTTTTGTTTCCAAAAAGAAATAAAAGTGATAATTTTTTAGTAATAAAAATTAACATCAGTTCTTTAAAATATTTTGTGAAATCACATATTATACATGAAAACAAAAATATAAAGACTCAATTTCATCACTACAGTAGATATACTAAGATTCCAGCGAGGAGAAATTTCAAAGATATTAACTATTTCATTTATTTCCTCAAACCTAAATCATAATTTTTTTATGCAACACTTTACTGATCTTAAAAGAAATTTAGTTAATTATATCATCATGATTTGAATTGCAATTGTGCTCCAAAAGCACCCTGAATCAAGAGGTCAAATAAAAAAAAACCTTTGCATCAATAGAGAAAAAAGTAAGAGTATCCTTTGAAATAAATCTGACACATTAAGATAAAGGATAACTAGTGCTTACGATGGTTTTCTTGCAGTGCTCTTTCCAGCAAGTCTTTCAGAACGATAGTTTTCATAATGAACATCTTGAGTCACTTCTTGTAAATCTTGCATGTGCGTTCTAATAAAATGATTCAAACTTTACAAAAGATTCAACTAAAGTCTATTACCTACAGCCAAGTACTTAATATATGATGTTAGAAACTTCTTTTATTAATTACAGTAATGATTAAACATTCTAAATGTTCATAAAAATTATCAATTAAATATAATAAAAATAATATCAAAATGATATAGTTTTTAAAAAATATAAATAACTTACAAATTATTTAGTAAAATTAAATTCAAATTACTTACTAGTACATACACATATTTTTTTTAATAATTCAATCTGAATATATTGTTGATCTTTCCATTTCATGGTCTACAATCATTGATATCAATGTGTTTGCTTCCCAATTTGCAACCTTAACACAAAAGTACTTGGTACTTCCACAGTATTAAACATCCAAATATCCACTATTGAGGAAGTATCCGGTCAATACTGTTTTTTTCACTGCATAATCAAACGCTTGTCAATTTCAACTATTTTTCCAGGGCCACCTATTCATCCTTGTCAAATAAATCTAGAGAACAAACCTCTCTCATAAAAGTCTTCCAGTCAATCGAGATATTTTGACAGATGTTGAGCTGCTTATTGTACCACTTAAGGAATGTTACTTCCCTTGCCCAACAGCTGATGAAACACAATGCTGTTAGGAATGGTATTCTGGAACCCCGACACCAATTATCAGATTGAATGCTCTTTTTTTTGTTAACAACTTTTCACATTGTACCTCTACATACTTTCATTTACATATAGTTTCATTTCACGGCCATTTAGGCATATTTGACTGTAATATATCTTTTTCCTGGAAAAATGATACAGCATCTTCCCGACTTCTTTGTAAATAAAAAATTATCAACATTTTTTTTTACATTTAAATTGAAAAGTCTATTACGATATCACATGGTTCGTCAAATTCAGCAAACAGAAGTCAAAAGTGAAAGTACAGTTTTTTACATAATTTGGCATTTATTGCACACATATTTATATATACACACTAGTGTGCAAAACTTAAGCAACAATGTAAAATTTAACCAGACAGCCATGAAATTGAAGAAAAGGGGTTCTTGCGATCAGTACAATGAATATGCAATTCAGTAGAAAGGTCATGCACATGCAAATGTCAGGAACAAAACCTCACAGGCAATGTGAGCGTAAGCAAAATGTGTGCTGTTGGCTTGCTCAACTCATGGATTACAATAAAAGTCAAAAGTTACAGTAAAAGGACGCAATTAAAGACATTCGCTGCAAGTACAAATGAGTTCTTTTGTAAAATATCGCTAGGAAGAAATTATCTGGATGACTTCACACATGGAAAAAGTGGTCAGGAAGCTGGAGGAGGGGCGTAGTGTGATCAGTGTAGCTGAAGAGTTCCAAATCAACAAAAGTGTTGTTTTGCACGCTTGGAAAGGCTTCCAAACCATAGGTACAGTTGTAAGAAAGGTTGGTGATAGCCACGCCAAGAAAACAACTGCAGTGGATATCGTACTCCAGGCGAAAAGAGCCCGAAACCAGTCAGCAAGTGTCATAGCTCAGCAACTGTGTACAGCAACAGGGGACAAGTGTCAAGGTTCACAGTGTCCAGACGACTACACAAAGGTGGCCTATTCGCCCACCATCCTGAATGCTGCATCCCTTTGAAAGTTGGCCATTGCTGCCACCATTTAGAGTGGTGCAAGGAGCACAAAAACCAGACATCTCATCAATGGAGTCATGTCCTCTTTACGGATGAGTGTCATTTTAGTGCCATAAAAGATTCTCAAAGTCAGTTGATTTGTAGAATGGTCGGGACACGATTTCATCCCAATAACATCACAGAAAGAGACCATTACGGTAGTCATGAAGTTCTCCGGGGATGAATTATGCTGAACTGGCAGACAGAGCTCCACGTACTGAACTGGCAGACAATGTACGGCCACACCGGACTCCTGCTGTTCAGAAGCTACTGGAAAATGAAGATATCACTTGAATGGATTGGCCAGCATACTCCCCTGATTTTTCCCATAGAACGTATGTGGGATGCTTTGGGGAGATGACTTACATCACAATTACATGCTCCAGGGAACACCCAAGAACTGAAACAGATGCTGATTGAGGAATGGGCACTCTTATCTCAAGATCTGTTGAAAAATCTGGTGCTGGGTATGGAGAGATGGATTGCAGTAAGGGGAGGGCATTATGCTTTCATCATCATTTAAATACAAAATGCTGTCTCTTAATTCTGAATTTCATGTCTCTCAGATGATTTCTCGTGTAGTTATGGCAAAAAGAACATCTGTTGCTTAAGTTTTGCACACCTGTGTATATATATATGTTATTGTGAAACACCGAAATTGGAGAATGTCAACACATATCAAATACATCAATGAAAGACTGAATATTTCATTATGTTCCTGTACATTCGGACCATCACCAGTTGACAAATACTCTGGTAGAGGTCGAAAAGACAAGTTGAGGTCAACAGAGGGGCGACAGTCTGTCGCCAAATCCTTTGTTCACTTGCGTTTGAAGTTATGTGGCCTGTATTTGTTACACTCTGGAACAGTGTCAGTTTTATGCTAGGTTTGATGGTATGCGCAACATTTTCTTAAATTTTTGTTTATCCAATACCCTAATTTATATTGAATGAATACTGCAGTGAATCCTGAACTTTTCTTTGAAACGTTAAATGCATTAATTGCGAGCAAATGAGAAGACCATTGTTTTTATTTTTCACAAGAAAAGTACTCTAAAGTACTTTCTGAAGTGATTTCTGCAAAAACTAAGTGCAGCACACCTTTAGATTACAGATGATTAAAATGTTTTGATGTTTTTAAAAACTAATGATGAAGAAAAATTAATTGTACCCTTAAAACCAGGAGAAACGAATATCCAATATTATGTTAGTAATGATGAATTGTTCAGCATACTATTTGAAACTATCACTAGAATAGCACACAGAGGAAGAACATGTATGCTTAAAAATTTGCAAGGTAAATACAAAAATATTACATATGAAATTGTAATGTTGTACTAAATTTTATGTACACAATGCCAAATAAAGCAGAGTGCACCTAAGAAAAGTATTGTTGTGAAAAAAATGGTCAGTTTTTGAGTTAAACTCAAGATGTAAAGTTGATCTGATAGACATGCAGTCACACAGGGATGGCGAATATAAGTTCATAATGGTGTATCAGGATCATTTAACTAAGTTTGTCCAGCTACGGCCATTGAAAACTAAGACAGCTGAAGAAGTAACGTATCATCTTCTTCAAATATTTTTAACATTTAGTGCTCCAGCTATATTGCATTCACATAACAGTAGGGAATTTAGTAATCAAGTCATATCCAAACTATGCGCTTTGTGGAATGATGTTAAGATAGTTCATGGAGAGCCTCGCCATAGTCAAACAAAAGCCTCAGTTGAAAGGGCTAATCAGGATATACAGAATATGTTAACTGCATGGATGAATGATTACGATACAAATAAATAGTCCGATGGTTTGCCCTTTGTTCAATTTGCCAAGAACACTACATGTCGTGAAGGAATACACCAAAGTCCTTATGAAGCTATGTTTGGCATTAAATCAAGAAGAGGCATAGCATAATTTTTTTTTGCCTGGTGAACAAATCACAAATATTGAAACCGAAGAACAACTCGAAGAAATTGCTAATACTTTTGAACCCAAAGGAAAGCTTGAAGAAACTGTTAATATTTTGGAAGAAAATTTGTGCAGTGGCCACACCGAAAACCATATTCCAAAGGAAAATACTGAAGAAGACCTGCAACCCACTACGTCTTCATATCAAGCTCTGACTGAACAACACAAGTTTATTTCTATAAAAAGATCAACTGAAAAAGAGAATCTTCTACTTGCAAGCAACATAAATTTTACGAACTTAAAAAAAAAAAAAAAAAAAAAAAAAAAAAAAAAAGAAATTTCCTTCTGCTCAGATTGGTGATATTGTACGAACAGAAGTCCCCGATGTCGATCGTGGTCGTACAGATGGCTGAAATGTGTTGCCAGTTGTTGGAATAGAAGACTCAGACGTTCTTAAACTAGCAAATAAAAATGACACCTTCAAAGCAGCTTTATACCCATAATCAGTTCGTAATTTGTTAAGATAAGTTACTTTCTATAGATGAGATTTCTTCTCAAGAAATGTCGCTGAGAGAAGCAGGTGTAGCTAATTCGAGAAGTGGAGGGCAAGGCTATATAAGCTGTCACTGCGAAAGGAAGAGTTCCACAATTAAACTTAGTTGTAAAAGCAAGGGACTCTTCTGCAATTGAAAATGACATAAAAGTTCAAGTTGTAATAAATAGGATTTTAGTTACATAATTAAATAAGGTTTTCTTTTTGGTATTATTTTCTTTTCTCATTTAGAATGTACTTTTTAAGTTCTAAAGTTTATTGTTACTTAAGCTTTTTTGTATTTTGACATACGGTATAAAAGCAAAAGTAAAAAAAAAAGTTTGTTATCGGATAAATTTAAAACTAAATGAACATTTATCCATGCACAACTACTGTCATTATTAAGAAGGCAAGTAATATCAAGTAGCCCTCCTTACGTTAGAATCTACAGCCACATGTCCTGCAGTTGAAAGCCTCTAAAAAGTTACAAACAACTCTTCTCACCGGGATTGGTTACTCCTCTCAGTAAGACAGATCGCACCCGAAATACAGAGGACAAAATGCAAATCTCTGACATATTCAAGTGTAAGCCAATGTAAGTCAGAAATAAGGATATATGGAAAATAGTTTGGGCATACACCACAGTAACATATACACACAAGGAATAAGTACAATAAAATTCAAACTTTAATCTGTAATAGTCCCATAAGATACTTATGGTTATATTATGGATTAAAGCTTTAATTTCAATTTGGTTACTTTCCCTTTCCAGCTCTAAAAGTATTAATATGCTTATAAAAAATTGTTTTGAATTGCATCATTTAAAAATTAATCTTTATCATGATGATCCATACTTAACACTAATGATGCACCTGCTTACGTAATACCGAAACTCAAACCTTTTAGCCAATAATAAAGATAAATTTGAAAACCAAAACAAGTAGTAGTAACAAAGCTGAATCACAGCTTCACTGTTCTTAATCTACAAGTAATATCCATATTGAAATATTCACTTTCTTCTTACAAATCTCCGTGTTGCTGAAACATAGTCCACCACTTTGCTTCTATCACTAGGTATAATCAAGCACATAGAAAGCTTTTGCCTACAGTGCTTCAGTATGTTTAATTACAAATTTAGCTTAGATAATCTGTGAGAACTTTATAATGTAACATTTATATTAGCATAAAAAATTCATAACATAGCTCTGTCTCTAGGCATAAATTATTAAGAATGTTTATTCTATAATTATTATCCTTTTATAAATTATTAAGCTTATTGCTTTTTTACAGAGTTTTTTTCTAATTTTTAAAATTTTACAAAAATGATGATAAAAACAGAAGTACTTGTCTTTTGCAATCTTCAATGGATGAGAACAATGAAAAAGTTTGATAACTGTCATTAAAAAATTGCTACTTGTTCTTGAAATGATAGCCAATCAGCTAATGAGCACTGCTCTCAAAATTGTGGAAGATCTTGAAAACTTGAATTGGCATTGGCAGACTATCTCTTTCCCAAAATGAAGTTTAACCTTAAAGGCCACTTAAACAGCACTGAAGAGTCTCAGAAAATCATAAACAGAGACTTCAACATTATTTTAAAAGATGAGTTCTAGGAAAGTAAGCATCTATACAAACACACAAAAAGTTATACAGACTTACATGTATCCGAGTATCAGGAGCACGACAGATTGACAGTCTCGCAAGCAGAAGGATGGCAGGAAGTAAGAGGTGTGTGCGCACTTTGATTAACCTCTCAATCAGCACTTTCTTATTTTTTATTTGTAACTAATCATCTAAACACATTACCGACCGGTAGCCTATTAATCGGCTTTTCATCACCAACGTCTACCAACCGATCGCCGATTAATCAGGTATTTTTAGGCAACACCTGCTGACCGATAGCCTATTAATCGGCCTTTTTCTCGGGGCTACCTAAAAATAGACTATCAATCGGTAGGCCATGGCGATAAACAACTCCCATTTGCTATATCATCTGCATTTTATTATTAGTATTGCTCACTTGCTTTAAGTGCATCGCTTCATAAACTCCCACATTTTCACACTGTTTTTAAAAAAACATTACCGTTCATGATGAGCGAAAAAAATGGTACTGGAGAGTTTTATTTAGATGATTTATTAGATTGTTCTGACAGTTATTTAGAACATGAAGAATCTGTGGCTGAGCGGCCGGTCGGACGTGCGTATGCTGTTGAACCGCTAGCGGTCGGTAAAGCGTTAATGTAACTCCACTAATAGCTAAATTAAGTAATTTAGACACTTAAATGTATTTCTGTAGAAATCACCTAGATGGCAAGCTTACATGGTAGCTTGGCCAGGCCTCAATAAAGCTTTCAGTTAAGGTAAGCTGCTATTTCATCTTGATTATCGCTTATGAACTGATTGAATCTTTTGAGTTAAATTTTGATGAAGTCAAACTATTTTTACCCACCAGAACTCTTACTGCGTTAACAACAGAACTTTGTTTTTAAAACAAAACTGCTTTTTAGTTTTACTGTATTAATCTGTTCTTCATTTGTAATCTTGAAATTTGTTTTTACATCTATATTGTGTTCTTAGAAATATTTAAATCATGAGACTGGTAGCTCTAAATGACAATCTACATATAGCTAAATCTTTAAAAGTATTCAAAAAAAAAAAAAAAAAAAAAAAAGAGGGCAGTTAAGTTACTATATCAATTTGTGTTTGGTCAAGATGACTGTGCAAATCATAAACAATTTCGTGAGTTCACTGGATTCGATGACTTTTTTCAAACTCCAGAAATTAAAGAACCCCTATTAAATATTTTCACAATCACAGATCTAATTTCAATTGTCAATGTTCTGAATTTAGAATATACCCCCTTCCCCTGATGACTGTAGCAATAGAATATACTTATTTAAAAATAAATCCAGCAAAATATGTCTTGGTGGAAGAGAAATGTTTTATTCCATTTCTTACTACTTTTTACAAATTCATTTTCAGACAGAAGCTATCTAATGCTTCTGTAAAAGAAATTAAAAGAATTTTATAGCTCTAACAGAAAACAAGAATTACAAATAAAAATTTACTTACACAAGCATTGTGCGCAGTTTGATGAAATCACAATGATCAGGATTCTCAATTTCTACAACACCCCATGGATATAGACGTCCACGAACTTTACGACCTTTTACTTCTATTGTAGGTATTGCAGCTGACACAGCAAAAGGAACTGCTTCCTAATATTGCAAATAAAAAATTATTTGCACATGGCTGAAATATATTAATTAAGCAGAACAGCTCTTTAGACATGCCCCCAAGAAATAAAATAATTGCAATTACTTTCAGTTGTTTGACTTGTTCTTTGTAATCTTCATCTTCATCTGAATCACAATCAGGAAGAGGATAGATACGAATGGCATGTTCATCAATTTCATGCATTATCTAAGGAAGGAGGAACAAAAGTTTTAGTTACATGCACATTTTGGAAACAGTGATAATCTAGGATGACATACTGGGTTGAAATTTAAGCAATAACATAGTTCAAAATATCAAGACTAATTAAAATTATCATGCATAAATGCATTTTCTCAATAAAGAAGAGATGATTTGTAAAAGTTTCCAGAAGATTAAAAAATGGAAAATGTATTTGTATCCCATTTTATATATTATAACGAAAATTCATTACATATACTGATGAATCATCTCATAGCAATCATCTTTAAAAGGATTTGTATTTCTGAGGATACAATTAAGTAATGGTACTGAACTTCATCGATAGTCATATTCTCTAAAGCCATATTTTCACATGAAGATCAAAACTATTTGGAACTGCTGGCAATGGCCTGAGGAAGGTTTCATTGCATGTCCCATCTTAGTAACTAAATTTTACAATGATAGAGAGAGTATAGCTTTATAAGTTTAATATTTTAAATCTTAAAAATATACATACAGTACAAAATCCTAAATCCGGATTCGACGGGACTTCAGTGATTCTGGATTTGGGATTTTTCCGGACTATAGATCATCAATTAAATCTGGTAAAATAGCATACAGAAATTATACAATTAAAAATATGAAAGCGTAATTTATGAAATAAAGAGCAATTATGATCTAAAGAGTATCAAATTTTAAAAAAAAAGCTTAAAATTTATTTGTTTACTTTATTAAACATTTCTTTCAATGCAAGTTGTTTAAGTTGCTTTGTTTTTTGTTCTTATACTTTCTCTTTAATTCTATAAACAGACATAATTTCTTGTTCAGTTACAAGTCCTGTAATTGCTGTGTCAAGAATACCAACTAACTTGTCAATCGAAATTTTTTCGTTTTCAATAACCTCTCTGTCACTTTCTTCACTATCGGTAGCGGTACTTTCTGGATCTAGAACCATACTACAGATTTTGCCATTCGTTAATTGATTTGATGATTGGGGCATTGTCATCGGAATGAAAAACTTTTATTATATCATCTTATATGCACTATTCCGATATCCTTAGGCTGAATGACAGATGTACAATTTGGAGGGAAGAATAATACGGATACATTATCTTTCACTAAAACTTTAACTGAAGTATGAGCTGAAAAGTTGTCTACAATCAAGACTATTTTTGAGTCATCAGGTAAACCAACCAAATTCAAATGTTGCCGAGCCTCAGGTATAAAATGATTTTCAAAGCAATCATTCATTAACGATGCTCCATGCTCTTTTATTTGCGCAATATATAACAGGGAAAATCCTTACCCCTTTAAATGCTCAAGGTCGAGCATGTTTTCCGATTACGAAAAGTTTGCACTTGTGCGTTCCAGCAGCATTTGTGCATGCTAAAATTGCTAATCTCGCTTTGGAATCTTTGACACCAGTTGGAGCCTTTTCTGTAGAGATTGCCAAGGTATTTCGCGATACATATTGCCAGAAAAGACCAGTTTCAGCGTTGTAAATTTGTACCGGAGATAATTGTTCAATAGCAATGAGTTCAATGAACTCACCTGCAAATTGTTCAAGAGCTTCAGTATCAGCTGAAGCCTTTTTCACCTGAAATTTTTAATTATCTTATACCATGACAATTTTTAAATTTGGTTAACCAACCTGTTGAATATGTGCACTCAGTGTTTAAGTTGATTTCCAAATGAAATATTTTGGCTTGAGCCATTAACATTGGACCCGTCATTGGCCCGCTCTCGCTACGATGCTGTCTGACCCACTGAATCATCACTTTTAGCATAATGAACACATTTTCTGTTATTCACTGCAAGTGTAACGGAATCCACAAAAAATTCAAAAAGTTCCTTTTTCTTTTTTATTATGTCATATACAGTTGACTTTCCAATGGCATACTCCTCGCATAGTTTCGAGACGGATATACCTTTATCCATTTTTTGCAGTAATTCCACTTTTTGTTTAATGGACATCAAAACATGCTTTCGCTTTGTAGATCCTTTGGTAGCTCCAAACTTGGAAACTATTTTCGACATAATCGAAAGTTCAAGCTTAATTTTTATAAAATCCATCTAATAATAAGCTGGATATAAAAAAAAATAATAAGCTGAATCAAATTAGAAGATTAAGGAGCAGTGCAGTGTGCTTAGAATTAGTAAAGATAATTTTAGCCTAGCTTAATACAATGAAAAGTCGTTAATCCGGACTCGTCGGGACTTCGGAGATTCCAGATTATAGATCAACAGTTTAAATATCGTTAGATGGCATGCAGAAATTCTAAAATTAAAAATATGAAACCGTAATTTATGAAATAAAGAACAATTATGATCTAAAGGGTATCAAAATTTACAAAAAAAAAAAAAAAAAAAAAAAAAGCTTAATATTTATTTGTTTACTTTATTAAACATTTCTTTCAATGTAAGTTGTTTAAGTTGCTTCGCTTTATGTGATAATACTTTCTCTTTAATTCTATAAACAGACATAATTTCTTGTTCAGTTACAAAGTTCCGCTGTTCAAGTCCCGTAATTGCTGTGCCGAGAATACCGACTAACTTGTCAATCAAAATTTTTTCGTTTTCACTAACCTCTCTGTCACCTTCTTCATGTCTTTATCCATTTTTTGCAGCAATTCCACTTTTTGTTTGACGGACATCGAAACATACTTTCGTTTTGTAGATCCTTTGGAAGCTCCAGCATCGGAAATTCTATTTGACATAATCAAAAGTTCAAGTTTTATAAAATTGCTCTTACAGTCTGCAAAAAATAATAAGCCGCATCCAATTCGAAGATTAAGGAACAACGCAATCATCAACATTAACTGAAATAGATAATTAGATAATTTTAGCTTATACCATCCGTTATACATTAAACGTGCACGCGAAAACGTATTCTGTGCTTGCGCACATCGCACATGCGCAGTTGTAAAGATCTTACACGCACTCGTAAACGCCTATGCACAGAAAGTTTTTAGCTTTGAGGTCCGGATTATAGATCATTCTGGATTATGGATGGGTGTCCGAATTAACAACTTTTGACTGTAGTGTTCGTTGTACATTACTGGCTGTGTATCACAAGATTGGCGATGAAAGGAAAGTTTTTCCACTAAATTTTGTCTTGCTCCTATTGCGCACTGAATTAAGCCTTGTATTAGTTTAGTTATTTACTAAACCTACGCTTATTTCTTACACATGCTTAAAACTAATCTGAGTCCTGAATAAATAAACGCCCACATATACTTCATCTAGGGCTGGTGCTAGATATCGCCTGATGCAGTATCTGCGGGTCCTAAATTCTGCTACAAAGCGCCTTCCTAAGTTCAAAATTTTCGCTGCGCCTAAACTTTGGATCCCAGTGCTTTCACTAAATTATAAAAAACTTCTCCTCCTTAATTTTGCCACTCAGTGCTTCCCCAAATTTTGTCTTCCCTAAATTCTGCCGTTCGGTGCGGCCATATTCTGCCGCTGCTGCTGGGTTTATGGTGAATAACATATCAGTTACCTTAACTAAAAAGCACTAAATGTAATCTCTGGGCCTATGAGTTTCATTAACAAAATATATTTTTAGCATATGAAAGGAAATTTTTGTTTAATTTTTCCTTATCAACGTTTCTTAGAGCATTTAAAAATCTATAATCATCGCCAAGCATAATGTTGGCATAAAAGGTTGCCATACTCTTGTTATTCAATTCCTAATATAAAAAAAGTTTACACATCACTGCATGAGTTATTACTGAAGCTGTAATGTATTCATAAACATGTGGTGATGAAAGAAAAATATAATAAATAATGACTCGCCAGGTCGGCGTCAGGGATATAAAATAGGTGAATGTTTCGGTTTGAGATGTATGCCAAGCAGATACTCAGTTACGGAGCTAAATTAGTAATCCCACACATTTATGCTTACATGATTGGTTTTTCATAACGAGGTATTTTATTTAGTGCTTATGTGACATTAAGAATTGGAATTTTTAAATGAAAATCTCCACACATTTTATTATGGAAGGAAAAATCAAATGCGCACGCGTAAAGCATACCAAAAAAAAATGTTTGGGGCTTTGAGGTTGCCAAAATTGATTTTAGTTGCCAAGGTTGCTTTGAGGTTGGATTTTAGATCATTCCGGAGAATGGACATCCGGATTTTGGACTTTGTATTGTATATATATTTTAATTTAGTTAAACTTCCCTTCTTATCTCACAGTTTCTAAATGAGTTTAGAGGATTTTTTTTTTTTTTTTTGTTTTGTTTTTGTTTTGTATGTAGTCATTTAATTGTGGGAGTTACCATTAAATACTAGTTTATTTTCATTAGATCTTTCTTTCCACAGTGTGTGTCTATATCATTTAAGTTCTCTGGATATTGAAAATCCATATCAGTCTTTTGTTCAGATTTTATTCTAGTTAGGTACACTTTACATATTTTGTACAGCAACAGTATTAGATACGTGCATGAGTATTTCACTATGTCTGATTGTGCAAATAGATACAAATAAAATTTTTCAAATCTAAAAAAGAAAAACATACCCTTTTCTTCAGTTGCATAACTTCTTTCTTGGTTAAGGCATCAGCTTTTGCTATAACCGGAACAATATTAACTTTACCATGCAGTTGCCTCATGAATTCAATATCTAGGGGTTTCAAGCCATGTCCATATGGAGATATAAAGTAAAAACAACAATGTACCCGACTATCATTGATGTTTCGACGATTCAAACCACTTTCATCTCTAAGAAATCTTTCAAACTGATCATCTATGTATTGGATAATCAGTTTAAAGCTAAAATGGTAATAATAACAAAATAAAGTTTTTGTTATTATAGTCAGTTTTCCCTTTATTATTAAAATAAATAACTTACTGTTAGAATATTCAAATAATAATACAGTACAAAGTCTTTAATCCGGACTCGTCGGGAATTCGCCGATTCCGGATTAGGGGTTTTTTCGGATTATAGATCATCAATTTAAATCTGATAAGGTGGCATGCAGAAATTATAAAATTAAAAATATGAAACTGTAATTTATGAAATAAAGAGCAATTATGATCTAAAGGGTATCAAAATTTATAAAAAAAAGCTTAATATTTATTTGCTTACTTTATTAAACATTTCTTTCAACGCTCGCATGCGTAAAGCATACATTACGCATAGTCGAATTTAGAAAATTGCAACCAGAAAACTATTTGATGTGTATTTGTGATATTTATAACAACGAGGAATTCGATTTAAATCATATCAAAGACGGAGTACATCGAGATGAAATACTACATTTAGTAAGGAATTATAAGCCGAATAAAATAAAAACATCTGCCCTGAAGATGAGGATAGTGCTGACAGATCAACTTCCAGTTCATTGCGCGATGCGACGCTGCCCCCCCCGGCAGAGCAGCATGAAATTGATAAACAGATTTCGGAATGGTTAGAGAAACAAAGGATATGCCTTTATCCATTTTTGCAGCAATTCCACTTTTTGTTTGATGGACATCGAAACATGCTTTCACATTGTAGATTCCTTTGGCAGCTCCAGAATCGGAAATTCTTTTTGACATAATCGAAAGTTCAAGCTTACTTTTTATAAAATTGCTCTAACAGTCTGCAAAAAGTAATAAGCCGGATCCAATTAGAAGATTAAGGAACAATGCAATCTGCAACATTTACTGAAATAGATAATTAGATAATTTTAGCCTAGCTTATACCGTCCGTTATACATTAAACGCATGCGTATTATGCGCATGCTATGCGCATGCGTAAACGCGTTTGCGTTTACGTATGCGCAGAAAGTTTGTAGTTTTGAGGTCCGGATTATGGACATCTGGATTAAAGACTTTGTACTACCTTTTAATTCTATATTCACATAAAATAAATTACAGTCATAGAAAAAAAAAAAAAAAAAAAGCTATCATCACTAGAAGTAACTATACATAATTTAATAGTTTTTGATCACTGTAATATTAACTGATAGCACAAGCAGCCACCTAAAATAATTATTTAATTTAAAAAGAAGCATGTTTTTAATAAATCCAGGTAATGCAATTCCCTGCATCCAGTTAGTAATTAATGATAACAGAGAGAAAGTTGTTATTTTTAAATTGCTTACTTTATTAATCAACAACACATATTAAATCTGAAGGAAAATTAAATATCTTTCTTTGTAAAACGGCACTGTCATATTGAAGATAAAAACAGGTACTTAAATATTATCCCATCAACTGTGAAGTTTGGCTACCAACAAACCATGAAAAAAAACACGTTTTTAATAAATCCAGGTAGTGTAAATACTGCTGAAGTTATGCCAGCCATTCCTGCAGAATTCTCAGCTGTGCTTCTGTTTGCAACCTTTACAATAAAACACTCGTAAATCTGTGCAAAATCCATCAAATAGCCAGTGCTGTGGAAATATTTGACCCATTTCGTTTTTGGCTTTTCGAAAAAGCTTTCATTGATTTCTACTATTTCATTAGCCCTCCAATTTTATCAGAAGCTCTGTTTAGAAGGCTATGTGTGCAAAATGACTGCAGGTGATTGTTTTAATCTATTACTGTAAATAAACTGGAATGCAGTCACAAATATGATTCTACAAGCCTCAAACTTTTTTTTTCAAAATGCAAGGAAAATTATAACAATACCAGTTAATTTATATCTTTGTTCATAAAAATAAAATGTAGGTTATTAAGAATCAGTTGAGACTAATCAAAGGAAAATGCAGATGCTGTGATCAATAACTGGCACTAAATGGCACTACTTGGAGGAAGTTTCATAGTTGACAGGATAATACATAAGTATCTATGGGCAATTATAACACATTTGTTTTAAATAGCCGAGTTCTTCTATTAAATCTAAAAGACAAATACTTCACACTTCTGACTGACAATGCATTTCTTTTAAATTGTCAAGTTTTGATTAAATTTAAAATATATTACCTGTGACTTATTAAAATAACTTCCATTCCAAATACATTTGAGTTTATAAAGTGGCTGAGTTTAACAAAAGGGAATCTGTACATTGCAAATCCTGACATCAGTTCTAATCTTTTTAAGTAACATACTTGAACAATAAAGCCATGGTCCATCATACACTATTGGCAATTGAAATAGCAACAATAGGAAAGAATGATCTGATGAATGTCAAAATCACAAAAAAGGGAAAAACTTGGAATATACAAATGATTAGTATTTCAGTGCATTTAGATGACGCAGGAGGAAGAAACAACATCTAAAGCACTATATAAAAGTTGTGTAGTGGATTTCTCACTTGGAAAGTGCTTTGTAAGGTTAGAATTTGCTCAGAATATTGTGTTATGCCTCGAGTAAGACGAGGGTACCAGCAAGTTTCAAAATTTGATAGAGGCAGGATCGTTGCCTATCCGAAAGTGTAGATTATTGTTCCATGAAATTGCTGGTCGCACTGGTCGACATCCAACCACTGTCATGCGAATATGGAATCAATGGATTGCTGAGAGTCATACTGAAAACATGCAGAATCTCAATACCCTCTCATCACTAATGGCGAAGAGGCCAGCCATATTGTCAGGTCAGCCCTCCAAAACCATACGACCACATCATGGACTGTTAGTCAGGAAATGGACATGTCTGCAACACATTCAGTATCAGCTCATAAAGGTGCATTGATGTTTGCAGCAGCATGGACTATCAGCAAGGTGATTATTACTTCGGCTTCCCTCAACACTGCAGCATAGAGAGAGTCGGCAACTCTGATGTGCCAAACCGCAAAGCTGGGTACAGGACTGGTACAATGTTGCCTATTCAAATAAGTCCCGATTCTACGTGCAGTATTCTTATAAGCCATATATGCATCTGGAGTGCACGAGGAAACTGCATGTCATCACGTATGCTTGCATTCGATATTGCCATAGGGGCCCTTGCACTTGATGCCTGGGTTTGGGCAGCCACTCGGTACACGACACGCACATCTCTAGTTCGATGGTAATTTGAACACATATAGGTACATTTCTGACATCTTAAGTCAAGTGGTTGTGCCCTATCTTCGAGGCCCCCCAAACACCATGTTCCAACAAGATAATGCAAAACCACATGTTGGACGTCATGTTTTGACCTTCTTCAATACACAGGGTATTCGACTGCTGTCTTGGCCAGCACGATCTCCAGATTTGTCACCAATTGAAAACATCTGGTCATGGGTTGCTGAGAGACTGCCCCACCACCTCTCTCTAGCTAATATGGTTGATGAAATGTGGCATAGATTTGAAGCAGCATGGAATAAGTTGTCCATTTCTGTCATCCAAGCCTAAAGGGATAAGGGCTATTTTAGCTGCCAGGGGTGGCAGCTGTTTTACTAATTTCACACCCCTGTAAACCTCCAAAATGCTTAAAAATTTAATCATTTTGTCATGCAATAAATATCATTTTTGTATTTATTTTCCTTCATAGTTTTGCAATTTTAATGGCCAGCAGTGTGCATTAAAAGGATGAATTAAAAAAAAAAAAAAAAACCTTTGACAGGTATATGTACGATATTTTGGCAATGAAGATTCAGTCTTTTGCCAATCTGAGTTTTAAAAGTGGTGGAAATAAGTTTAATATATGGTGGTTTTTCTATTGATTAGTAGTTCCTGGATTAGTAGTTCCTAGTATTCATTTAGTTCCTGGAAATTTCAACATCTTAACTTAAAGAATTTATTAACAGTAAGTTTAATAAGCAGCAGGCACTGTATCTTATGCTTCAAAGAGCTGCAACATACTGCTTTTTAATCAAGAATTTATTGATACAAAATGTGAAATAAATCAAAAGCAAATTCGAAATTCAGGCTTTCAGGAAGACTTCATGTTTCGAAATTTGATGGCTTTTGTGTGTTGCCATTTTTCCACAAAGCAAATAACATACACATATTCTTCACAGATCAAGTCTATCGTAGGGTTTCCACACTTGGATGAAAAAATAAATTATATGTTTGTTCATTTTGTTTTAGCTGCCATCATCTTCAAAACCATTCCCTTGCAAATATACCTTCTGTTTTACTAAGACCTTAAGACCATGGTGGAAATCATTTTTTTTGAAGCTGGCAGAAATCTCTTGCAATTTGCACTGAATGCAGATATTTGTATTTTCCAAATACCATCTTTGTATCATTTTGGGGGGAAAAAAAAAAAAAAAAATTGAAATTACTGGGAGCTAGATCAAATGAATAGGCATGATAGAAGACAGTAAAATGTTATTTTCTAAAAGCTGTGCAGTGTTCACCAATTTGAAATTGAAAGCAATAAAACTATATGGCAATGTGACAAACATTAAAATTTGTTCTTAAATTCTCTTGGCAAATTTTATAACTGACTCCAATGTTTGTCTGTGAATTTTTAAATTATTAGGCAAGGATCTTCCCATATGAATTTAAAAATCATTTCAATATTTCCTATTGCTTTGTTTATGGTTGGCCACTTTGATGCTTGTCACAATACAATTAAACTTAATCAGCCTTGAAGGTATAAGAGTCATTCAAAAAGAGTTGTCCGATTTAAAATACCCAACACCAAAAGCCATATGAATTGTATCAAATGTTTTAATAGGAAATTTACAGAGTTTTATGCAACATGTCGGAGTTTCTCAAACTCTTTTTCAAGTGTGGATCACATTTATAAATTAAAATGTTTTGTAAACTATCTCACTCTTGTCTCCTCTGAAAAAAATTTTTAATACAGTACAAAGTACCTAATCTGGACTCGTCGGGACTTCGGCGATTCCGGATTATAGATAATCAATTTAAATCTGGTAAGACGGCATGCAGAAATTACACAATTAAAAATATGAAATGGTAATTTATGGAATAAAGAGCAATTATGAACTAAAGGATAACCAAATTTACAGAAAAAAAGCTTAATATTTATTTTACTTTATTAAACATTTCTTTCAATGTAAGATTTTTTTTTTTTTTTTTTTTTTGTGCTAATACTTTCTCTTTAATTCTATAAACAGACTTAATTTCTTGTTCAGTTACAACGTTCCACTGTTCAAGTCCTGTAATTGCTGTGTCGAGAATACCAACTAACTTGTCAATTGAAATATTTTCATTTTCAACAACCTCTCTGTCACTTTTTTCACTATCGGTAGTGGTATTTTCTAGATTTAGAACCATACTACAGATTTTGCCATCCGTTAATTGATTGATGATTGTGGAATTGTTATCGAAATGAAAAACTTTTGTTATATCATCTTATATGCACTATTCCGATATCCATAGGCTGAATGACAGATGTACAATTTGGAGGGAAGAATAATATGGATACGTTATTGTTCACTAAAACATTAACTGAAGTATGAGCTGAAAAGTTGTCTACAATCAAGACTATTTTTGAGTCATCAGGTAAACCAACCAAATTCAAATGTTGCCGAGCCTCAGGTATAAAATGATTTTCAAAGCAATCATTCATTAACGATTGTGTCATCCATACTCTTTTATTTGCACAATATATAAGAGGGAAAATCCTTACCCCTTTAAATGCTCAAGGTCGTGCATCTTTTCTCATTACGAAAAGTTTGCACTTGTGCGTTCCAGCAGCATTTGTTCATACTAAAATTGCTAGTCTCGCTTTGGAATCTTTGACACCAGTTGGAGCCTTTTCTGTAGAGATTGCCAAGGTATTTCGCGATACATATTGCCAGAAAAGACTAGTTTCATCAGCGTTGTAAATTTGTTCCGGAGATAATTATTCACTAGTAATGAGTTCAATGAACTCATCTGCAAATTGTTCAGAAGCTTCAGTATCAGCTGAAGCTTTTTCACCTGAAATTTTTAATTGTCTTATACCATGGCGATTTTTTAATTTGGTTAACCAACCTGTTGAATATGTGCACTCAGTGTTTAAGTTCATTTCTTCATGAAGTATTTTGGCTTGAGTCCATTGGACCTGTCAATGGCACGCCCTCACTACAACGCTGTATGATCGATTCAATCACCACTTTTAGCATAATGAACCCTTTTTCTGTTATTCATCGCAAGTGGGGTGTCAGAATGCACAAAAAATTCTAAAAGTTCCTTTTTCTTTATATCATATACAGTTAACTTTCCAATGTCATACTCCTCACATAATTTTGAGACGGATATGACTTTTTCAATTTTTTGCGAAAAAAAAAAAAAAAAAAAAAAAAAAAAAAAAAAAAAAAAAAAAAAAGAAAAAAAAAAAAAAAAAAAAAAAAAAAAAAAAAAAAAAAAAAAAACAAAAAAAAAAAAAAAAAAAAAAAAAAAAAAAAAAAAAAAAAAAAACAAAAAAAAAAAAAAAAAAAAAAACAAAAAAAAAAAAAAAAAAAGAAAAAAAAAAAAAAAAAAAAAAAAAGCAATTCCACTTTTTGTTTATGAACATTGAAACATGCTTTCGCTTTGTAGAGCCTTTGGCAGCTCCAGAATTGGAAACTCTTTTTGACATAATCGAAAGTTCGAGCTTAATTTTTATAAAATTGCTCTAACAGTTTGCAAAAAATAATAAGCCGGATCCAATTAGAAGATTAAGGAACAGTGCAATCTGCAACATTAACTGAAATGCCTCAGAATCAGTAAAGATAATTTTAGCCTAGCTTATACCATCCGTTATGCATTAAACGCGCATGCGTAAAGCATACCAAAAAAAAAAAAAAGTTTGTGGCTTTGAGGTGCATATTATAGATCATTCCGGATAATGGACGTCCGGATTACGGACTTTGTACTGTATATGTTACTATCAGCATATTTATATTTCGAAAATACAATTAAAATTCATTTAATTTTACACTGACCTTAAATAATTAAGGTAATACAGGATAATTTATATTCATTTTCAATAACTCAAGGTTATTAGTTTTGATAATCATTAACTTATTAACTAAAAATTAAATTAATAATGACATTCACATTAATGAGATGGATGAGCCTGCCATTTCATGCATAGTTGTTCTGTGTTTGGATGAAGCACCACAGTCAGCGATTGAAATCCCTCTTTTGTTACTAAAACTAGAGAAGGAAGTTCATAGGTAGTATAACAGCAATAAATTTCATAAAATGCAAGCTTTGGGAGAAAAAGTAACATGTGCTAGCCATATGTAATTTCCAAACTCTGAGATTTTCAGCTATAGTGTAGCATATATAGTTGAATTCAACATTCTAGATAGAAAATGACTTTTCATCATTTATACTTTAAACTTCAGGTGTGCAGACTTAGAGAAAATAATAATAATATTAAGACATGATTTCATATTCATTTCAGTGAATAAACAAGGTATTTTTATCAGAAATTTAAATTTTAGGGAAATAAAATACTTTTGCTTAAATACATGTGGCTTACATTTTGAACGAAAGAAGCTATTTTGGATGAAAGTAAATGATGACAAGTTAATAAAAATCTCCAACTAAGATTTCTCTCTTTTAAACTTTTATGAAAAATAAAATTTCTTAGCTATACTGGTTTGAGATTTTAGTGTTTCTTCCACATTTCAAATTTTATGTTTATAATTACTAGCTGATTCAATAAAATATTTCCTTGTACAACATGTTTAACAAGCTTATCATGTACTTATAAAAAATAATGAAATTTCATTTTTAAAACCCTGATTGCAGAATCTGAACTTGAAAATTTATTAGACAACAACTTTTGCGCTCTTTTGTTTTTTTGGCCAAATAACATTTTTTGGGGGGATTAAAAAATATACAACATTAGCCACATGAATTTTTATGTTTTTTAATTATTATTAAAACTAATATAATAAAATAAGCAAGACAAATGTCCCCCACACATAAACAGCATGTGTTATTTTTAAAGAGAAATCAAAAGTTAATCTTTGGATTATGGTATCTTGGCGATTTTTTGGCGAAAATTTGGCAACCAACCCTGCTACAGCAACCTGCTAGTTTTGTTTTGGATGCCATTTTGTTTTCACGAAGTAAAGGCTTTTTTTTTTTTTTTTTACCCAACATTTTTTTCCAACAATCTGCTAGCCGAATTACGCTTATACTAGAACTTTTATGGAACAAAAATGCTTAATCATGACGAAGATTGGGAGAAAGTGCAGAATCACAAACTGCTTGCCGCGTTTTTAAGAGTTGCACATACACGGTATCATCCATGTACACGTCAGCCTATTTTCACTTAAAAAAACATCCCAGAATTGCACAAAAATGGCATTGCGCACACTCTTAACACTATCCATGTACACTACTAGAGTCCTAGATAGTAACTTTTATCGCCTTACCAAAATGTCGCCAAACTACCTGTTATCATATTCCAAAGATTAGCCAAATCAAAAATTATGCAATATTTTCAATGTAAAATAGAATACCTGAATTATTATTAATTGACAGACTAACCTTAAAACTGTGGTTTTAAGGTTAGTCTGTCAATTAATAATTTAATAACCTTAAAACTGTGGCAGTTGGTTTTTACCAAAGAAATACTGATATCAATTAGCTTTTAAAACAGTACTGAATCTAGCGTAATACTTATTTCCTGAAATTTCTCCTAAACATATGATTAATATTTGGGTGGCTATAAATGTCTTCAGTTATTACTCTGTTCTTTTACACATTATTTAATAATATAACATGACATGGTAACTGCTTCCCCCCCCAACTGCTTTTATATATGGCATTCATATTAAGCAGAACTGCAGAAGCTTGTTTCCTTCATATACATACCTCTATAAAACTGAATCAACACAATATTAGAGGATATTTAACAGTTTCATAGCAATATTAACCACTGCTGAAATCACCAACTTCACTTTTCTCTCCTATGAATTTAGGAGAGGACATATCAGAATTTTTTTATCCTTTAAAAAATTCGAATTTCTTACAACCCTTTTTTTAAACTTAATTTTTCTTTTCTGAGTCCAATTTATTAAGTGCTAACAAATTTTCACTTTTGATTTACTACTTCAGTAATGAAATTTCTATAAAAAATATAAGATAACTCTGGATGCAAATAAATATTTAGTTGCGATTAAATTTTAAGACAATGATATCGTCCATTCTGAAAGACTTTATTAAACAAAGTACACAATGTAATAAATGTTACCCATATTAATGTTTTGTAATGAAAATTACAACTATCAAGGTCATTTTCTTTTATAAAAACATCATTTCAAAGAAATTATTTCAATTCTTACCTATCACTATTATCAATAGCATCTCCAAATCCTGGAGTATCAACTACTGTTAAGCGCAGTTTCACACCTCTTTCTTCTATTTCAACAGTTGAGGCCTCAAGTTTGACTGTTTGTTTTATTTTTTCTGAAAAATTAAAAAGGCCACTGATTAAAAACTTTTTATTTTTTCAACTCTGAAAACACATTTATGGAATTCTATAGAACAACATTTAAAAATAATGAATCGCCTACATGTTTTGTTATGTATTTAATTAGTCTTTTTTCCCACAAACTGAAATACTGTATAAGCAACTCCACAACAAATATGGTTTGGTTTATTTGGTTATCGCAAAGTATGCTAAAACTAGATCATATCCATATTATGCATCGGGAAAACGACAGAATGCCTATGTAGGTAGTCGATAACCTGGAATCGAGGCCAGCATTAAATGACTTTCCACTTGGCTGGTGGTAGAAAACTACAGTAAATATGTGTAACACTTTATGAGCCGGTATATTTCAATTCATTATGCTCATTAAGCAGTATATACATTTCCAATTTAATTAAAACTTAAATCGAACAACAGAAAACGAATTTTTTGGAGACTAATTTTCCCAGTGACATATTGAATTTTCAATTGCGGTTGCACGGAAACAGAATATGGAAATATAGCTACAAAGTGGAGAGTGAAAATATAAAAGGAGGAGAAAGAGGATTCTTCTTTCTTTATATATCATTTTTAATGTACCTTTCTTGATGATAAATGTAGAAAATATATTTCCACATAAATATAACAAAAGAGAATATTTTGTGAAACTACTATGGATCTTTGCAAAACTTCCATATTAATAAAATCTTTGCAAAATTTAAAAGAGATATAAAAATGATGAAAAACCGAGCAAAAACTAATTATGTACATAATACTACCTTAAATAGAAAGTTGTTGAAACATGCAATGGCTAAATAAATATATACATTGCGAGTTAAGAGAAAATGAAAACAAAACATGAAAGATAAATTGTAATGAGCTCCTAATTTATGTAAGCAAAAGATGTATTTTCTCTCCCACTGTGGGAGGGGGGGAATGTAAGGCTCTACAACAGAACTAGCCTTACCATTTATTTTGATATTTACAATTATATATACAATTAATTGCATCTTATGTTCTACTTTTATTGGAGCAAATAGATTTACTAATTTTCAGAGAATTACATTCTTTTGCATGAAAAAATATAATGGCCAGTACAAAATTTTGATAATTAGTCCTTTTATTTTTCATAAATAAGTTTATTTCCTTTATTTAATATTGCAAAGACTACTCTTCGGGGATGACAGAAGATGACTTAATACATATGAAGTTGCAGAATTCAAGGGCCAGGGAAGAAAAAAAAAAAAAAAAAAAAACTCATCGCTTTGTAGGGATGATTTTAGAAGATGACTGTTAACAGGGTGAAAGCTGTATCATGGTGACTTCATGTTTAAAAATGCAGATAATACTCTTCATTTCCATTATTTCCATTTCATAGAGACATATCCTAGGTTTATTTTAAAGATATAAAACAAGTGTTAAGTGACCCCGTGCTTTCCTGCTGATACATATTTCTTTAAAGACTTGGATTTTAAATTTTTCACTAATTTGGAGTAAAGTGTTTTAAAAAGATTTTTTTTCAGTGTTTATTCTCTAATTAAATATTTATTCTGTTTTTAAGCTGCACTGTAGTATTTATTTATTAAACTCTACAATGTGAATTTTAGTTAAGACATTTGGTTACACTGAAAGTGATGTTAAAAGATAATTAGTTTCATATTTCTATCCTAATTTTCAACAATATTCTGTTGTATGTCAACTCTGTGGGTAATGAAAACATAAATAATTTTTTCTTTCATAAATATTTGTCAGCGATCTCGGCCATAGGCTGGAATGTATTAAGAACCATATAGGAATTACTTAAAAAATATAAAAATGTTTAAATAAAGAAATAAAATTGACATCTAAAAGTATCCCATTTTTCAAGAATCACCCGTATAATACACACCGTGTTTCAAAAAGAATATACGTATTACAAAGTGTTACTTTGTCCAAACTATCGATCACTGCACCTTGGCTCAGCTATTGACGAAACAAATACATAATCTAGTTTATATTAATAGCCGCTAGATGTCAGTTGTCTTCCGTTTTGTGTGGTAACCATCACATGTTTAAAATGGCCACTCCGCAGCAGAAATAATTTTGTGTTCTCGAGTTTGCGAAGTGCAATTCCGTGATTACAGTGCAAAAACGTTTCAAGTTGAGGTACCAAAGTGATCTTCCGAATGGGTGGAAAATTCACAGATGGTATCAACAGTTTGTAAATACAGGATGTGTATGTAAAGGAAAAAGTCCTGGCCGCCCTTGTGTTCCCAACAAAAATGTTGCACGAATTCAAACTGCTTTCCAATGTAGTCCTTCAAAATCAACTCGTCATGCCAGTCGGGAGTTACAACTGCCGACAACAACAATTTGGCATGTTTTGAAACGTTGGTTAGTTATGAAGCCGTACAAGTTACATTTGTTACAGGCTCTGCATCCTGATGACAAACACAAACGTGTGGCATTTTGTAACGAGATTATTGATGCTATTGACAATCATGTTCAGTGATGAAGCAACTTTTCATGTTAGTGATTTTGTAAACAAACACAATGTTCAAATTTGGAGCCTACAGAACCCACATATACCCATTGAACATGTAAGAGATTCGCCAAAAATCAATGATCAATATGTTTTGTGCCTATTCTTCTTTGATGGAAACATGGTTAACAGTCAGCAGCATCTCGTTATGTTACAAAACTGGTTGTTTCCAAGGCTGCACGAAGAAAACTTCATTTTTCTACAAGACGGAGCAAAATTTAATATGGCTTATCAGTAGAGATGGCCCAGGTAAAATAGCAAAATATTTTATACAATATTAGAAGACTAAGCATTTATACAAACATGTGAACATAATATACCTTCTGTGTATTTAAAAACCGAAAAATATGTAATGTAATTATAGAAAATATTTAATTAGATATATCATGAATTAAATGCATTTCTTTTCAAATCAATCAGATAAAAAAGTGAAAAAAGTATTTTAAAGAAATGCATCTATTGCTTTTAAATACTTTAGTTTGTTAAGCAATAACAAACAGATTAAATATGAAAGAACTGAGTGAAAAGTGAAACAGAGCAAAATTACGTTTCTAGACTAGGCCTTTTAGGCAAATAAACTGGCATGCGATTTTTGTCACAAAAATTGCCGCTACACAAGTCCAAAATAACACGTCAAAGAATTGCACAAACTCAGTATTCATGTACACATCGACCTATTTTCACTTTAAAAAAATTCAGAGAATTCCACAAACTAGGCATTGAGCACTCCCTTTCTCCATGTACACATCGATCTATATTCACTTAAAAAGTTAAAGGAGCAGCCAACAGAAATATATAATATAAATAAACTACATTGTAAATCACACAATGAAATAACATAAAAAGGAAATTCATTTTAGCATTACACAAAACGAAATATCCATTCACCTTATTTACAAATTTCCGTGTCCGCAGTCAAAATTCCTTAACAGCATCCAAATACTTCCCAAAATTATCTGAACTAGAATCTGTATACTGGTGTCGCCACATAAATTCACAAAAATAAGAGTCAGAAATAACATCCGTAATGCCAGTATCCTATGGTGTTCGACAATACGTATTTCCTTCCTACAAACAGGACACTTATAATGGCTATTAAGTAAACCTTCATTTACACACCAGTAAATTAAAGCTTTTTTGCCCTTTCATTCCAAATCACACAGAAACTTCAAATTAATCTTACCACATTTAGCCATTTTACCGTGTAAACCACAAAATAACAAAGTACTTCTTACCCAAAATCCTACACACAAACAAGCCTTTCAAAATCTTTTTCAATCATTCAAATTCACTACAATCACACAACCAATTACATTGTAATAGGGCTTCTGTAATGGCTTCATGGTTTAATAAGGCACCATTTAACAAGACAAAATGAACATTTATTAAAAATATGGTTCAAAGCATAATAATAAACTCAGAGCAGTACGTCGCTCTTACAGCATAGCGAAATCTACTACCTTCCTCTTCTGAGGCTAACATGCAACTCTCAATAAATACATTAACCCTTCGTGGAGAAGAGCTACATGTGCCAAGCACACTCTATTGATCGCCAAACAGTCGCCAGATATCACAGCTTCCATAGCATTCAACAACACAGGTTACCATAAATAAAACAACAACTTGGCGATAAATGAAATAACTTAGCAAAAATCCAAGAGCACCCTTAAATCTACTCTAATCAATAGCTGATCTAGCAAGTATAAAGAAAATGTTATTAATGCTGGTAGTGGGTCAATCTATATTTAAGGATGCCTGTTGGATTATTGCCAAGTTGTTCTTTCATTTATGGTAACCTGAGTAGTTGAATGCTATGGAAAAACTATTATGACATGACTGGTTGCGTGATTGCGGCAAATTTGACTGAAAATATTTTATTTATGTGTTAGATGTTCGTTATGAACTAAAGTTTTTGTACAATTTGAAAAGAAGGGGAATAAAGCATTAATTGACTGGTGTGTAAATGAAGGTTTACTTAGTAGTCGTTATAAGTGTCCTGTTTGTACAAAGGAAATGCATATGGTTTAAATGGGTTTTTCTGACACTACAGAGTAGCATTTATTTTTACTTTTTTAAATTTATGTGGCAACGGCAGTATATAGATTCTAGTTCAGATAATTTTAAAGTTTTGGATGCTTTAAGAATGTCTGCAACTTCTAATAAGGTTAGTTGATATTTCTTTGTATACATAGATGAATAACATGTTTCCTTTTTATGTTATTTCATGGTTTGATTTAAAATGCAGCTGATTGAGATTATATATTTTTTTTATTTCAATTAGGTTTTATTGCATTTTGTTTTGGACACAATTTTACTGGGAAAGGCCGTTGGATGTAAACAGGGAATGGCGAAAAAAAAAAAAAAAAAAAAAAAAATCTCCAATATTCGCCAAGAGGTACCCTGAAATATATTTTATCCTAATAGTGTTTTGGATAACCATGTGGGACTAAATGTTAACAATAAGAATATTAAGATCCCTATAACACCCCCCAAAACACTATCCATTTTGGTACAGCCTAATGTGAAACACTCTGACTTCTTTAAAATTCTTAAAAACAATACTCCATTTTCTGACAGAATAAATAGTGAATTTTTAAAAGAACTTTTCGAGTCATCGGATAATTTCAAAATATTTAATAGATAAACAAATCAATCACTTATATTATTCTAAGAAGGACTGAGAGATCATATAAGGTGATCCTTAGAGGTCTTCCTCTCGACACTTCACTTGATGAAATAGAGGACGAAGTTAAGAGCATGGGCTTTATTATTAAAATGTAGCACAAATATATACGAGTATGTATTATTAAATGTAGCCCAAATGCAAAAGGAAACTGATGCCCTTGCATTAAATACAGCTGAAACTTGTTCCTGATGCAGATCTATGATATATCTAAATTTTTGTTCTTTGATGTGCTGGTTGTTCCATAAAAGACTCGAAACACTGTGGTTCAGTGCCACAATTGTAAGAATTTCAATCATTCCTCTGAATATTGTAACATCAAGCCAAGGTGCGTAATAGGTAAAGAATCACACAAATCAGTAAACCGTGTAGCAAAAAAAAGATGGATGTTGTGAAGTGCTGTAATTGTGGCTTAACTGGCCACACTGCAAATTTTCATGGTTGTAGTAAATTCCCTAAGTTACAAAGCAGCGAGGCAATTTCTCTGGCTAAAAACAATATGGAACATAAGCCCAAAGTAACTGATAGCAGGTCAACTGTTACCACTGGCATCTTGTATGCTGACAAGGTGAAAAACATAGCATGTGGTTCTACAAACACTGATAGTAATTCAAATGAATCCAGAGTACTGAATTTTGGGAAAATATTTAATGTCATTAAACATGTCTTTTGCCTAATCAAGGACGTGAGAAAAATATTTAATGGTATATCTGTACACAGCATTCTTAGATAAATTACATACAAAATTTCCACAATCCAAGCAATAGAAATTGTTCTTAATGTTTTTTATTCTCAAAGATTTGTTCATTGCCGCAAACTAACATCTCTGTACTTGGTTTATAGTGGAAATATACTTAACGTATACTTGATACTTTTTCCATATCTCAAATAATATCCTTGTGACACCATCTTATTCACACACTTTACTTTTCTTGTGTACCAGTCTTATAGCCTGCCTTTCATACACATTATGACTTTCTCAGGATTTCGGTGTCTTATAGGCTAGTGTCAATTTTTCAAAACTTAATCTGATAAAATGATGATGAATCTGGTGAATGATGATGTACTTCTGGATAAATATTTATCAGTTGTTTTACAGGATTTAGAACTTTTGACCCAGTTATTTGTCAGAATGTATTTTGGAATTTTCAACATGTTCTACAAGGATTAAGGCATTGTACCTACACACATTGGTGAAATGCGACATTCTAAGTCATGCACAAGTTTCCACTCCGGTAATTGTAATTTTCTTATGAAAAACACTCCAGTAATTGATGTTGCTGGCCCATCTAACATGCTAATTCTTTTCGACTTCTTATCAAAAATATCCCTCTACTTGTCTTCAACAGCCAAATCAGATGCTGACTTACCTCCACCCATGTAAAGATCTACTCAGACCACAAACTCATGCGTCAAAGATGACAATCCAAGTTACGTACTGCAAGTAAAATAAATCTTTGGTACAACTCTGATATACGCCCTAATTTCACCAAATGTGGCGATATGTGTTCTGCGCTGGTTTTTGGCGCGATTGCGTGTTGTATGGCAACCCTGTTGACGTTGAAAAGTCTTTCGCTGGAGTTCGTTGGTTCCCCTGTTTTGTGTCTGAGAAGCTAGGGGGGAAGATTAATGGTGAAAGTTTGTTGAATTGAGTTCGGCATAAGGAAAGAGTCATGGTCCCTTGGGGGCAATGGGTTTTGGATGTGTGGAAAAAGAAGGTATGGGAATTATTTAGTGGTTGTGCTTGATTAGCGTTTGTGATTATTTTATTTATTTTTGTGAACCATAGATAATTTCTGGATGTGTGTCTGGCTGTCATATAAATACGATACTAGATTACGTTGGCGCATGAAAGGCGGTATGAATTGGTATTTCTATTGTTCGAAAAAGCATTAATGGTAAGTGCATTTTGTTTTATTCTTGTTCTTATTTTGTAGAATGTTATTTTTATTGTTTTTTTAGTATGAATTTCTGTCGTTATCGTTGTTTTTTTTGAATTGTTGAATTTATTTAGTTTATTTTGTGTTGTGCGTATGTACCATTGAATTGGCAATTTCGTAGTTGTTTTTAAAGTTGAAAACAGCGGTTGTTGTGGTCTCTTCTTTGAATTTATTGTTATGTTTTTTTAAAGCAAGGTGTGCATAGTCGAAATCGTTCATTTCGATTGTGCCATTCGTAGATTTTTTTTTAATTAAAACTATCGCTGGTACAGGACTCTTGTAAAATAATTTTTGGTTAAAACCCCCGGTTTGCTATCTAAATTTTTGTTTTTGTTTCGGATTTTTGTTTAAGTGTGTTCAAAAACGGTTTTTGCATTCGCGAAACGATTTTTGGACTTTTAGGCTTACAGTTCGAAATGTAGACAAAAAATTTAGATAGCAATATGACAGCGTGGAGTTTCTCGCCAAAAATATTTGGCGAGAAATTTGGTGCCTTGAGGGCGCATATCAGAGTAGTTCCAAATCTTTATTTATTTATAATGCATTACATTTAAAATTTACTTTTGATCTGTTTTAGTATTTTTAATTTGTTCAGTGAACCTAGCAACATTGTATGAACTGTTGTTTAGAATGTAACTCATTCATAAGGTGGGCAGCATCTGTACACTAATATTTACCAATTTGTATGACAAGTGACCAACCTTTGCCATAAAAATCAAACAAATTTCCCACCATCGCCCTCCCCTAATTACGTGTTTAACAATGAAATACGTTTTCACTATAGATTAGGAATTTTGGAGTTAAATATAAAAAGACTATTAAAACATTAGTTGCATTAAAGTCACGTTGGAGCCAGAAGCATATTTAAATCATGAACATTATTAGTTTTCAAAATTCATATGAATCCACTATGAAAGATAATACAAATAAATTATAAATAAAAAATTAATGAAATTAGTACAACCTGCAGCATCTGGAACATGACGCTCAGGATACAAATCAGTGAGGAAAAGACTGTTGATTAAAGTTGATTTTCCAAGACCGGATTCCCCTACGCAATAAATACATAAATTAAAAATATATTAAAATAAGCAAAATGCCTGACAGAAATGCAGATGAATATGTCAAATAAATAAAAATTAAAAGACTTTTATAACTTACCAACAACCATAAGAGTAAATTCAAAACCTTTTTTGACAGATTTTCGATGTACTTGATGCGGCAAATTAGCAAATCCAACATAACCGGGAGTTTCAGGATTACTAAACTATACCAAAAATATGAAAAATAATTTTAAAAGACCAAATATAAGTCATATTTTCACAATATTTACATCTGTTTGTATGACACAAGACAATGCGGCACCGCTTTAAAGGTCTGTTTGTCTAGACATATTTAAAGATATTTACATATCAGAAATATATAATTTTGAAAAGTTTACAGCAGCAGAAGAAACATTAGTACGAGTATCATACATCTCTCGTATACTTACCAACTTCTGTTCTGAACTCATACTTTGAAATTATATAGCCAAATTTAAATTAATAAGAAGAGTAGCGCGAATGACAACACCCAAAGCACCATCACACGGTTACAGATAAGAATGATTGGATAGTATAGCCTGTTCAGTAGCGGCAAAGACAGAGAAAAGAATCCGACCAATGGCCATTATTTGCTTCCTATTGTATTTCCCTTTTTTGTATGCAGAAGTTCTTTGTCTCCTAAACGAATTAGGTTCCGAGCGATCGTTCAAACCATGAATTTGTTCTTAAAATATTACAAAATTCGCTATGGATATCGATACCTCATAACGATGTTCGTGCAATAAGAGCCAAAATGCAACCAAATAAACAATTAAAATAATAAAACAAAAAAGTACACTTAAACTTTCAAATTAAATGCAATATATATTGAATTAATGAACTGAAATTCATTGAAATCGTGGGGTAAGAATGAGGCTAGTAGATCTTTACATGGATAGGAGGAGTCACGCCCAACTCGTCCTTGTCTCATTGATCTGTAAAGGGGAGCATTTGTGGTGAAAAGGCAGGTGTTGCTCAGGGTTCAAATTTAGATCCTCTCTTATGTCTTATCTACGCAATGGACTTTCCGTTATTTGATGATAATATGATAATAGCAACTGTATCACAGCATGTTATGCTGATGATACAACCATCCTCTCAATCCGGGAAATGCCCTTAAACGCATACAGAGGTGGATGTATGAAATAGAACATTGGTGTCGAAAGTGACGGATGCCTCTAAATCCCAGCTATTACTTTTAGGAAGTCACCAAAGGAAAAATGTAGATGTCGAACTGACCTTATTCAACAAAACGGTTCTACAAGTCAGTAAATCAACCTATTTAGGGGTTCGCTTTAATTCCACTCTGACTTGGAACCCACATATTTCCACAGACATCGGAAAAGCAACTGGGGTTGCTCGAAAGCTTAATTCAATTATTAACCCATCATCATCATTAGACCTAGTAAGGAGAAAGAGAATTTATACAAGTAAATTCTCCGTCCTGTTCTGACATACGCTTCACCGGCCTGGTGTACTGCCTCCAAAACTGACTTTCTCAAACTACGAACACTTCAAAATAACTTCTTACGAAAGATCACAGGTGCACCTTGGTTTATTCGTAACGAAGTTTTGCATAAAGACCTCAAAATTGAGGATATAAAATCTTACATCAGAAGGATAAATAAAATATATTGGCATATTTGAGTCAGAAACATCAATTTCTGATCTGTACTTCTTAAGAAAATACGTGTATAATCTTGACTGAACAGGTTTTCGTTTCCTTTGTTGTAAAAATACTGTATGGTATCATTCAGAAGAAACTTCACTATAGCAAACCTTCCAGAACTTGGTTTCCAAAAACGCGAGGTCTCTTCAAACCTGGAAAACATTATTGACTGGCATGAACTTTGTATCGAACGTTCTAACTCGGATAGGCTTCTTCTTTATTTGTTACTTTTCTAGATGCAACAGATTCTGTTAGAACATGTCAAAGATGAATCTGCACCTTTGACATGTTCAGGAATGCGATTTTTATTCTTAAGCATTGTTCCAGTTCATTCTATTGGAACGTACATCATTCCCCCCCATATTGTCACTACTTTAAAGACCTTTTATTATTGCGACTTTTGCTACAAACGAAACGGCTTGTCATTCATTTCACTATTACTGCAACACTTGATTTTTTCTTTATTTTCTTTCTTATCGACTTCGAACAAATTCAATTCTGTCAGAAAGCTTTATTCGTATTTGCGAAAGTTTGTAAAGTATGGAGCACCTGTATTACGATTTACGATTATTTATAACCTTTCAATTGTTTTTTGACTTGGGTGCATTTTTAAGTCATACTTCGGAATTCTTTGAATAGCTCTGAAATACAACTCGAATTGTGCACAAAAATTTTTTTGGGTTACGAAGTTTCTATTTATTAAAATTTCCCACTTATACAATCTAATTCTATGGCAATAAGAGAGTTAATACATTTTAATAACTTAATAAATTTTAAAGATGTATATAAAAATTTAACTCAACTTTTAAAAATTTTTTTGTGAATATTAAACATTTTTGGACCGATATTTTGTTGCAAACAATCTAATCATATGATTGGAGGATGCCAATTCGGATGATTCTCTATCAAGGAGTATAATTCATGATTTGAGGGACATCTGTTTGACTTCGTATTTGTAAATTGAAGCCGTAAGAGACATCTCATTACAAAAGCTGCCCATGACGTTTTTGAAATCTCTCCAACGAAAGCTTCTAACAAAATTAAACGAAACGTTAAGAAAGTGCCACGAAATCAGCAAAAGTGAACCATTTTATATTTAATAAATATTGCAATAATAATAAGCTATGTAACTAATAAATTATATAAAATTTAACATTGTACTAATAATAATATATTAAAAAATGCATAAATGATATATATCTGTTAAACACTACATATTAGACTTATACTATTTTAGTATATTATAAAGATGTGTTTAAGTTATACATATCCTTGGAACATTTTAAAATGTGAAAAGAGTTTCAGGTTTTAATTTTATATACCACTTGTAATATCTCATGCTATCTCACGGTTTTTGAAGAGAAGAGAACGGGACAAAATACTTCAGAGCCTCTGAAACGCTGATAAACCTCGATATCATACACTTTAATGTGCTTCCAAACATCTGCTGATTACATTCGAGAAAAATTACTTAATTACAGAAAAATATAAGCAGCATTTTAAGAAAATGTTTTCTGCAATAAGTTAATTTTCAGTCGAATCAAAAAGAAACTTAGTTAATAAATTTATTATCGGTCAACAAATTGTTATCCTTGATAGCCTGCATGGTTTTTAAGTTGTTTATTAACATTTCTAATGTTTTCCACAAGCTTTTGTTTTAATAATTTTCTCCACTTAAGAAGTTGCTAATTCATCGGTACTTGGTAAAATTCTCAAGTGAATTCTATAGAATTACAATTTCTATGCAAATCTTTATGTCATGCACACTTATTACAAAAATTTTAGGTTCTCATTTATGACTCCAAAAATGGACTAAAGCAAATTAAATGTGAAATATATTAGGAATTACACTGCTGGCCATTAAAATAGCTGTCATAAAGAAAAGCAGTTAGCAAAATTCTATTTATTTTTATAAATATTTTGAGGCACATAACAGACATAAAAATTATCCCAAGCATTCTCCTCTGGAAATAACAACAGCACTAGGAATTGAGTTAGAGAGATTTTTAGATGGTAATTTTTAGTGCTGTAGTCACTGCTGCTTCCATTTTATACCAGATTTCATATGTTGTACTGGATGGCAAATGCTGCCATGTCAATAGCTCTGTAACCAGTGAGCAGACTTTTCATACGAGGAGAGATTTGAGAGGATTCAAGGTATGAGTCAAACCAAGCCATTTGTGAATTTAGAAACGTAGGGCAGCTCTTGCAACATAGTCTAGCATAGACTTGTTGAAAGATGGGGTGACGCTGGCCCCGAAGATATAACACAGCAACAGGCATCAGAAGCTCAGTAATGTGTTGTTGTGGCTTATCTCACTTGTCTGACAGTAACATCAGAATACGCCCACGAAATTCATTGTTGCAAGGAGAACAAGATTGCGCCTGTGATTCAAAAGAGCTTTGAGCACCATACAGGTGACAGTATGACATCGCTCAGTTCAACCCCAATTTTGAAGGACAGCAGCCTGGGTAGAACAGATTCTAGGGTATCCCACACTTCTTCCCATACCTTCAACCTCTAGAGAGGACTTCCGATTCCCCATGCATTTAGAGTCCCCCATGCCGCAAAGACATTATACATTTACAAACATCCATGCCTTCTCTGGGATTAAAACCTGGGTTTTTCGGTGTCGTAGTCGGCTCCCCTAACCACTATATCATCTGAGAGGCTCTCAGTAATGCAATTATGGTTGATTAAATTTAGGATATTTATTATTATTTCCTCTGATTCACCTCTCAATGGGTACTACAAGTCAGTCATGCTATCCTGATCGTTGCACCAGCAAACGTTTTTGGTTATTCATCTTTTCAACCTTATTGTTAATAAACAGATTTAACATTAGTATATTACTTTTGTTGAATGCTCCAACTTACAATGTTTGGGTATGTTAGTATAAAATTAGCAAGAAGTTAGTTTAGATATATTTGCATGTACATGAATGGAGGCTTGCTTCCTTTACATTTCGACGTGTGCCTAGACCTGATTATCTGCTATGATTATGTTTCTCTTGGAACAGACATACTCTATCTGTCGCCCCGCTGTCCGTAGTAATACTGAAAAAAGTCTTTGAGGCCATGTGATTCCTGGAGCTGAGGAAGGAAGGCTCTGATGAGAGAAGTGAGTGGACAGTCGTGTATGTAATGTGAGACGTCTGCTGAAGAAGCTGAAAGTTTAGAATTACGATTTCTATGAAGCTGAAAGTTTAGAATTACGATTTCTATGAAGCTGAAAGTTTAGAATTACGATTTCTTTAGGATATGGCGGATTAGAAGTGGTGTTGATTATGTTACTCAAAGTCTGCCGCTCTTCGCGGTAGGAAACCGTTCTCAGCGATCGCCCTAGAGGAGCACGGGATATGTGCCTCGATGCAATAATGCTAAGGGGGGCATATTTCAGAAATACATGATGCCAATGATGTGTCCATGTGCACCGCTCTAAGCTTTAATTCCTATAGTATAAGTCAATAGAGGCCGAAACACTGGTCGTCTTATTGACAATACATAGAGTTGTAGCTGTCGTCGCAACATATGCGCAGATATTTGCAAATGTAGAACACACCAACTTTCTGATTTAATGTACATAATGCGATGTCTAACAAAGATGTAAGATATGTGCCACCTCGAACATTGCTGAATGAGGATTTGGGAGAGTGGGGTTGAGATCCCGCACGTCGCTCTACATGTGGTCCTTCTGGACCCACTGATTTCAAATTTTTGTAATAGTTATCAGATCTTGGACGACAAAGCAACTGCGCGATCACAGTCTACAGTCCCGTTATGATCCCTCCGTGTTCAAATTCTGAGACATACTGTATGGGTTCTATCTCTTCTATCTCCTTAGCTGAGGCAT